AACGCCTCCATCACACTCGCACACACTGCAGGACAACAGACAACAGCCATTCATTCATGGATCTGATTTCTAGTTTGAAACAGTCCAACTTAAATGCCACTTCTTGCATTTCTATCATCTTCCGCTTGGCCCCCAAAGCGATAGCATCTCGTTCTCAATATGAAGGATCAGTTTCCATTCTTGGTGGCATTGAGATGAGGTGTGAATTATGCTCAGCAAGAGCGAGGAAAGAGGCGGGAGCTGCTACTTCTTGAATGCTTGGATGTGTTTAATACAGTGTAGGTAAACATAGATTCATGAATTGATTCCATTATTTCCTCTTCAGCAAAACAGAGCTTTGTAGACTTCTGGATGCTTCCACAGAAGAGCCGAACCTTCTCCATGCTATACAGCAAGATCTGAAGTGTAGTCCATTTGGGTCTCTATCTATCTCGCCAGACCTTCCTTCAGGGAAATACGCAACTTAGGTGCTAGACACAGTTTCCCCAGACTGGACTAGCCTAAGAGGGCGACACGTCACACGATAGATCTGCCTGTGGGGATTCAGGAAGTGACAGAGAGGTTAAAAACGATACCAGGGCTGGCCGGACCTCATGGCAGGATGCTGGCCGCTCTGAGGGAGCCCAGGCTGACACCATGCCAGACTGATTTGGGCTGGAACAGGATGGAGGATTCGCTGGCCTCACATCCACATCGTTCACCGTGGGACTCAGAGGTATTTATGGCTCTGGCGGCTTTAGAGATAACACTGGAGACGGGTGGAAATTGGGGTTCATCGAGGAGGTGGACTTTACGCAAGTGATTGTAGAAAATCTTGGAGCATGTAATGGGTTTTTGCCTTTGTTGTATAAAGTAGAAAACAGAATGCTGTGGGCAATAATTAATGTTCGCTCTGATGACAGTTCGTGCTCAAAGTGCCTTGGCTTTTGGCAGTTCAATCAAATGACTCATTATGCAGATTTGGTATTGATTATGATTCATTTGTCATTCTCCAAATTGAAGGCTGCATGCATTGCAAACACATTGCGCTTGTGAAGTGTGTATACTTGCATATTTTGGCAGGGTTTTTTCAGCAGGTTTGCATATATCGGGCCCTATCATACACTCGGCACAAAAAGGCGCAAGACGTGTTTCTATGACTTATTGCAATTTTCAAACCATAATTTTCCTGTTTTCCGCCACATTGTTTAAATAGCAAATTCATTTGCGCCACTTTGTGGACTTGGGGTGTTTTCGTCTAGATAAGAGGAGTGTTAAGGCGCATTGTTGGCGCATTGCAATTTTGAGAATCAAAAATAGAATGAACAATAGACCAGCTGAGAGCTGAGGGGTCAAAAAATATTATTTTCTACATAAATATAAAAACCACTGCTTTCATGCCTTCTTCGTCTCGGAGGGCTTTTTTCAGTTTATGACAATTTGCTTTTGTATAATGTTATTATTAGTAGTAGTAGTATTTGTTTTATAAATTTGTTTTATTAAAAACAAGCTTAGATTTGCCCACCTGTCAGGTTTGACCACACTTCATTATTATTGTTCATTTATTTGTTTGCTGGAAATTAGAACTGAATTTAGAAAAAGTTTTGAAACCAATCTTTGCGATTATCAAATGAAATAAATTATATTAAGGCTTTTGGATGTCTGTGCATACAACATGTTTCCTTATCCACGAAAGAGAGTGAAAGTGAAAGAAAAGACTGAAGAGGCTTATTCTCTCATTCTCAAGCTGCAGATGGTCTATTTAACCGTTTTCTCGCTAGTGAAGCGTTTAGTTTTTCCACTTACAAAGTCCACCATGTAAATAGCCAATGTGCCATGGTGTGAAGCAACTGAGTCTTGAAAGGAAATGGGAGATTAGACTCTGATTGGTTTATTCTCAAAACACACCTATAGCCCCACACGGAATCTGCACATGCAAATTTCTGCAGATTTTTACCCCATTACTGAGTCTATTTATTTACTTGTGTAAATGTGTGCAAATTTACATTTATTATATTTATTTATTGTTTTTTTTAAGATTTTTTTGTTTTTGTTTTAATTAACAACAAAAACGGTGGTTCTAGGCTTTCAGGTTTAAAATAATTCCCTTGTGGATAATAAAAGAGATAATTAGAAAAAAATGTATTTATATAACATTGAAGGCTTGACTGGCCTCAGTATACGCTCCGTAATTTGTTGTTCTTGTATTGTCTCAGTTTCTTTTATGTTTGTGCAACAACATCCGCATTAGTGCTGACACCTTGTGGGCAAACTAATTAGTGTGAAAACAATTCAAACACACGGGCAAGCCATGCATGCATTATATGTTCAGTTTCAAAAACAGGCCGATGCCTATGCAATATATACATCAATCAGCTACCTAACTTTCTGTTTTGAATTAGTATGTTTTGTTTACAGGAATTTGTGTAGAGCAATAGTCTCAAACTCAATTCCTGGAGGGCTAAAGCTCTGCAGAGTTTAGCGTCAACCACCTCACACCTGCTTAATAATTTCTTAAATAGTCTTGAACACCTAAATTAGTTGGATCAGCTGTGTTAGATTAGGGTTGGAGTAAAACTGTGCAGAACTGCAGCCCTCCAGGAATCCAGTTTGAGACCCATGTTGTAGGGTAAGGACAGTTTTGCTCACTACACATAGGGACATTGATAGTGATAACAAAATTATTACTTACTGGCACTTATGAAAAACAACAGAACTGATTCAGACATTAATGTTGTAATGTTTTTAAAAGAGCATCTATACAGTAAAGCTTTAGTTTATATAACCTCAACAATTCCACCAGCTACCAGGTCTTTAAATTGCGTTGTTGGCTTTTCAATGAGTGAGCCTGCACCGTCTAAGGACGGAGCACAACATGAAAGTATAAGACAAGACAAAGAAAATATGAAATCAAAATTTATTGAGTTTAAATGAAAGAAAAGAAAATACAATTAACTACCCTAACTACCTAACACAAAAACAGAGATCAAAAACTTTTACAAATAAACTGGCATCAGATTCCTTACTATCATAATATACAATATTTACAAAGTATTTACAAAAACAAGCAACCAAATTTGAGGGACAATCCAAAAAATCTGTGTCAAACAAGCAAAGTAGGCAAGGTAGTAGATGAAGTCGAATTCGCCCTGCTTTAAGTAAAACCCTTGGCACTTCTAGTTTATATGATCCTAATGATCTGAGTGATTTGTTAAGTTTGTATTCACTGAGGGTACCTGTAATATGTTGAAGTCCTAGAAACTCATATCTGGCTCTATATGACTCTGTATGTAGTATTTTAATAAAAAAAAACTTACACTTTTATTCTATAAGCCAATCCAGAGCAAGAAACCAGTCTGAAGTGGCCAATCAAGACACTTTTTAGGCAGAGAGACAGATGATAGATAAAATATCACAACCATAGGGTTGTAACACAATATACTGACACTGAGAGGAAGAAACTGTTGATTAAAGTCTTTTCTTTATCTAAACACAGAAATATTCTCTTTGTTTAATAATCTTCCGCTCGAACCACTAAAGGCCTGTTTTCTGGTACATTTCTGGACCTCAATCTGAGTCTGAAACCTTGCTGTCTACAGAGAATGAAAGAGCTCTCCGATTTAACCGAAATATTTTAATTTGTGTTCTGAAGACGAAAAAAGTGTGTGTAAGTAATTAATAGCATAACCTTTAAAAATGGCCTACACCCTAATCAGGGAGCTCATTGAGACACGCCCATGGTGTCAACCAGATGCTGAATTTACTTCAGTCAGTCACCCAAAATATAATCATGATGAGTTTTTTTTTTTTTTTTTTTTTTTTTATCTAATTTCGTTTGAACATAAATAATGTGTGTTGTCATAGTGGAGCATTGTTTGGGTCTCAATACACTGAGTGATAAAGGACCCTCTCTGCCCATAAACTTTGATGAGAGACAACTCGGCCGCTACGCCAACATAGCATGACATCATCTCACTGTGTGGAGATGGAACGCTGATGGATCAGTGAGGGAGACAAAGAGAAATGGCTGGAAAGAGAGAGAGAGAGAGAGAGAGAGAGTGGGAGGAAAGAAGAGCTTGAACGTTGAGTCTTTAGTCACCCTTCTCCACATGATAGAGCAGGAGGATTGGGGGCGGCATCATGGTAACCGTGTGGGAAGCTGCCCGTCACACCATCTCCTCTACTGAGTTTCGTCTTCTAGTCTCTCAGTGTGCATCAGAAGTCCAGCAACAGGCACCCGCGGCAGGGGCATCGAGGGTTTCAAGCCCTCCTCCCTCCCGCAGGCATGGAGCATGGGGATGAGCCCCAAGTTGGGCCCGGAAACATGTTGGACATGACGGGGCATTGCTGTGATGTGCGTGGCGTGGGTGAGAGTGATGCGTTTGTGACTGTATTCCATTCGTGTATTCAGTGATTTGGGTGTATTGTTGGTTTCTGGTGAATTTGAGTAGTGTTTTCTCTCTAGCGGTCTATCACTGGAGTATTTAATACATGCTTCTGAGCACGCAACTGTTTTTTCTTCTTCACATTTTCTTTCCATGTTGTCATATTTGTATTTTAATGTATGTTTGTATCTTTCAGGATATGTTAATTCTGTCTCTAGACTGTTTTGCCTAGTGATGATTTGCCTAGTTAAATAAAGGTTAAATGTTCATACTTTTTAATAAGTTTTCATTAGTTCATGTAATTACTATTATAAATTATGAATGAACCACGCTGGTATTGGTCATAGTGGATGTAAATTTCAACATTTACTAATACGTTATTAAGATCCAATGTGGTGTTAATGCATTTTATTTAATACACCATAAGTTAACTAGGACTAACATTAAGCAACTGTATTTTCGTTGACTGATGTTGACAAGTATGACTAAGTATTGCAATAACTGTATTTCTTGTATTGTACAAATGAATGTTAATTTAATAAATAAAAATGTATTTATTTATTATAAATTTCTGCCGTCAGTTTTGTTCGCTGATGTAACTGACTCTTTGTTTTCTTCTTGTTGTTTTCTCTCCAGGAAGAAGTGTCTGTTAAAGAGATCAACATCACACATCTTGTTAAAGAGGGCTCAGAGAAGGCCGACCCACAGCAGTTTGAGCTCCGTAAAGTGCTCGGACAAGGCTCTTTTGGAAAGGTACATTACATCAGGGTTGTACTGTGAAGTGTGTTTTCACAGTACAGTATGTAAAGGCAGAACATAGATCAGTGCTGTTTTTGTTATATAAATGTATTAAACTGTTTTTGATAACTTAAAAAATGCATATTGTTGGCACAATAGCTTAGTGGTCAGTGCGCTGACATATGGTGCAGTAGCACTTTAGGGCGTACCGAGTTCGAATCCCGGCTCGAGGACATTTCCAATCCCTACCAACTCTCTCTATCACACTTCTCTTTTAGTCTGAAATACTGTCCTATCCACTTAATAAAGGCAAAAATGCCAAAAAAAAAAAAAAAAAACATATCTGCATATTTTAAGTTTAGGTCATAATTTATGTTTTGGTTCAAGAAGTGAAAAAAATGCTGAGGTGGTTCGGGCATCTGTTTCGGATGCCTACTGGACGCCTACCTAGGGAGGTGTTCCATGCATGTCCCACCGGGAGGCGGTCTCGGGGAAGACCCAAGACATGCTGGAGGGACTATGTCTCTCGGCTGGCCTGGGAACGCCTCGGGATCCCCCCGGAGGAGCTGGAGGAAGTTTCTGGGGATAGGGAAGTCTGGGGTTCTCTCCTAAGACTGCTGCCCCGCGACCCGGCCCCGGAAAAGCGGCAGAAGATGAGTGAATGAATGAATGAACCACCTAGATTTTTACAAATTGTTTTTTTTTTTGTTTGTTTGTTTTTTGCAATAAAATGTGGTGGTAATTCCCAGAAATTTGCTGACAATTTTGCATATATATATATATATATGCAAAATTGTGCATATTTGTTGTATATAACATATACAGTCAGAATTTTTACCCCCCTGAATTATTAGCCCCCCTGTTTATTCATTCATTCATTTTCTTGTCGGCTTAGTCCCTTTATTAACCCGGGGTCGCCACAGCGGAATGAACCGCCAACTTATCCAGCAAGGTTTTTACGCAGCAGATGCTCTTCCAGCCGCAACCCATCTCTGGAAAACATCCACACACACACACTCATGCACTACGGACAATTTAGCTTACCCAATTCACCTGTACCACATGTCTTTGGACTTTGGGGGAAACCGGAGCACCCGGAGGAAACCCAGGCGAATGCAGGGAGAACATGCAAACTCCACACAGAAACGCCAACTGAGCCGAGGCTCGAACCAGCGACCCAGCAACCTTCTTGCTGTGAGGCGAATGTGCTACCCACAGTGCCACTGCATTGCCCCCCCATTGTTTATAGTTAATAATTTTAATAACTCAATTCTAATAACTGATTTATTTTATGTTTGCCATGGTGGCAGTAAATAATATTTGACTAGTATATTTTCAAGACTCTTCTATTCAGCTTAAAATTACATTAAAAGGCTTAATTAGGTTAATTAGGTTAACTAAGCAAGTTATTGTATAACGATGGTTGGTTCTGTAGACTATCGAAAAAATATATAGCTTAAAGGGGCTAATAGTTTTGTCTTTAAAATTGTGTTTGAAAAATTAATAACTGCTGTTATTCTAGCGGAAATAAAACAAATTAGACTTATCCAGAAGAAAAAATATTATCAGACATACTGTGAAAATGTCATTGTTCTGTTAAACGTAATTAGAGAAATATTTATAAAAGAAGACAAATTTAAAAGGGGCTAATAATAAGACTTCTACTGTATATAAGTATAAAAAATTATATATGTATGTGTGAGTCCGAATACTATTATCTTGAAAATATCTAGTAAAATATTATGTACTGTCACAAAGGAATACCCTCAAAAAATGATTTGTGTTCATGTTTCTGATTTTAAAATTACTCATACAGTGATATAAGATTTTGGTCATAACCACCCACTTATGCAAGTATATTTTTAGTGCGTTTGTGTTTGTGTGTATGTTGTGGTTTGAGAGGTAATCAGCACAGATAAATGCCTGAGTCGGTCACAGAAAAAAAAACATATTTTAGGGACAATCTCAGTATAATTGCACATGGAACTGGACACGGTCACTATAGTTACAGTATAACCATAAAGCACAGGACTAATTGTGTTTTCAAGAAGAACTGATGAGTAAAATAGCTCCTGGTTTAAAGTGGTCTTTAGTGTTGTTTTGATGAAGCCTTGATTTCTGTGTGTGTGTTGCAGGTGTTTTTGGTGAAGAAAACAACAGGGCCGGATGCAGGACAGCTGTATGCTATGAAAGTGCTGAAAAAAGCAACCCTGAAAGGTATTTAGTCAACCAATTTGAGGTTTTCAGAAGCCAGTGCTATTTTATGCATGGACAAATCATTTTATGTCTAATTCTACTACCGTTTTAATAGTAGACAGCTTAAGCCTAAAACTAATATTTGTAACACGTCAAAATAAAATAGCTATAAATATTTGTGCCAGCAGTGAAATTTTACTAAAAACAGACAGAACAAACTGGTAAAATATATCAAATTTTTATTTTATTTTTATTTTTATTTTTTATTAGATAATAAAACAAACCTGTAAGAAATAGATTTATAATACTATTAATCTATTAAACTAAAATACTAACATATTTTTAACAATTACCTATTAATATTGATATTATTGTCACCATAAATAGAAAACCTATATTTTAAAATCATTTTCTTTTGTTGACAACATCATTCTGATTAAAAAATTGCAGGGTGGTTTGAATCAAATCATATTTTTTATTGCTAGAATTAATAGAAGCAAGTTACCAGGCAACTGGAGAGTAAAACTCTTCTCTATACTACTGGCCAGCAATGATTTTACTCCCATCTGGCACTTGATGAGTGTTAATTTTAGGCTTTAAGATTTTAAAGGCATTTCAGAAGCCTCATTAACATGTTGCACTTCAGACTACAAAATGCCTTCTAAGCGTTCATCTTTACCATAATAACCAGTTAAAGTTGTTTATTCCAGTGTTTTAGCATGGTTGATTCTCAGTTTTTGCTTTTTAAACAAGACACTGCAGGTGTAAAAAGGAGTAAAAGGAATAAAAAAATGCACTAATAGTTATCACCATATGAGTAATTACGTTAAGACATTTTTTTAAAAGTCTGTATGCATATGCAAACAAGACATTATGTTGTTAAAAATGAGGTTATTTTCATACATTTTAATAACAAAAAAAAACCCTGGAGGACAAAAGGCCAATCTGAACACAAAACAGACTGTTGCTTGACTCACAGGGCATGCCCTCAGCATTTGAATGTACTTTAGGTCTGGTTTTATATCATCCAGTCGTGACGAGCAGCCGCGTCATCAGGAGATCATTACCCAAAAGACTTCAATAATATACAAGCCTTTGACTGCATTTGATAAGCCATAACGTTTCCTAACAATAGAGACAACAATAACCATTTTTCCCCATCGTTATTTTTACATTTATTTTTAACTTACTGTGTATCAGTGTTGGGGAAAATTACTTTTGAAAGCATTGCATTACAATATTGAGTTACTCCCCCAAAAACTTTGTGTCACTTAGTTACTTTTTATGGAAAGCAGTGTTATGTTATGTTACTTTTGGGTTACTTTTGCGTTACTTTTCCTTACCTGGCTGAATTTTGATCTTTTTCAGAACTTGCAGGTGTTTTTTGACCTTTTTTTAAAGAGAAGCTCTGCATTTAACAGCCACCGGTATAATCTACACCTTCATTTTTCTTTAAAAAAAAAAAATGTAGGATCAAATTATATTTTAATAACTTTCTGAGCCCAGAGCTAACACACTGTAGATAGAGATTAATGAAAACATGTAAATTTATGTGTTTGCTACTTTTGTTTTGTGTTATTAGTTAAGTTAATTCATTGTCCATTGAGATAAAGATTGTAATAAAGCTCAAGAGGACTAACATGAAATAATTTATATTAAGGCAAAAACAGATTTTAAACCTTTAAAATGTTTATTAACAAAATGAACACAAAGACGATTGAGAAAATCTCCAAATCAAAATAAATCTTTGAGCTTCATACATTGATTAAATTGCGTTTACAGCGTAGTTTATAGCATAGTTGCTTCTACAGTTGACAGTAGCTATGTTTCCATCCCCCTATTTTTATGCACATTTTGGATATACGCATAAAAGATGTTGATTGAACGTGTTACCCCCAACACTGATATGAAAGTGGGACTTTTATTTTGAAAATGGGAGATGCAAAATGTGTACTATATGTTACTAAACAACGACTGCATGAAACATCAAACTCACATTAGCATGTAAATTGCAGGATTTATAGATTTTACATTTATGTGTCCGTGTGGCTGAGAGCGGAGCTCATTAACATTCACAACTGATCCAAAAATGGTCAATATAAAGCTTCTCTAGGGGGATTTTATGGAGTAATAAATCAACATATAAAACCATTTCTGGAGATTTTTTTATTTGCCTCATTTACTTGCCTCATACTTAGAGTGATTTCACACCTGTAGATTGATTGTTTTTTCTCCAAAACAGGGATTAAAATTGTTAGTGTTGCACTTTGTTTTTGGTGCGATACGCTTTCACACTCCAAAGTATCTAAACGGACCAAAACAGCTAATACAAGAGAGAAACTCTCCTCTCATTGGTCAGAGTTTCAGGGTTTATTTTTTTAGAGTCCCGCTCAGCTGTCAAGTGTCCTTATTTTAATTTATGACGATGAGCAGTAAGACATTATCAGCGAAAAGCTGTGCTTTAACTTTGAATGGTGACACCCACAGATGTCGTTAAACATAAATCAGAGGTAAGACTTTCTCACACATAGCTGTTGACTAGAATTATGCATTAAAGGCTTAACGTTATAGACCGTTTCAATGTGGTCATGCCATTGGCCCAAGAACGTTTTCTGCTTGTCATCAACTATTTCATAACTGTAACAAGAGGCAGATCAATAATAACCTAATGTTAAAACAGCTATCATAACATTATTTATCAATGTGGCTCTTTTTGGATTCTTGGAAGCTATAGAAATAAAAATTGTAAAGCAGGAAATATGTTGGGACCATTGTTTTTGTTTACATCCCTTAAAAGGATCTATAGGAAACCAAGACTGCAGTTTAGTCAATTTACATAAACAGCTCTCATTAAAAGTTTAACATGCTTTCACTTTCGTATTTGACATGAAACACACATTTACCGGTAGGAATGACATCCCGCCCTACTCTTAACTCTCTCTTTATATAGCCGTATATGTGGCTATTACGTATCCATAATACATTGTGAAATAGCCTGATTTATTAGTTTGTTGGATCAGATTGCTTTCTTTCTATACAATCAATTCGCTCTAGAGTTCTTTTAAATTGAGCAAAGACCACCATATTAAGACGACCTCGGACCGATTGTTTTGGCATGGATCCAAGCGCGATTGCTGGTTTCAAATATGCCAAATGAACCACGCTAATGGGGAAACGTGCCAGATTTCAAAACAAAAGTCTATGTAGATATCAGAGAACAATTTAACTTATTGAACAAATGCAGTATATGGTCCCTTTAAAACAGCAAGAACAAAATCCAGATATTTTTTTCTTGGTTAAAACAAAGTTTATGTAATTAGGCATGCTATACATGAAGATATCACTTTGTATAAAACCTAAGAACGCTGATATGAATAAAAAACATGGTCTGCTATATGTAAGTGCTGCTAAAGTGAATTTGTACAACTCATTTTAGGAGAAAATGTTCATTTTGAGAAAATAGCCTTTAAACATCTGGATTTTATTTCAAATTTAGAGGCACAAATTGATAAATGTGACAAGTAAAACACTAAAAAATAAAAAACTACATTAAACTGAAAAAAAAGAAAAACCTGTAGTGTCTCGCCTTAAAACTCTAAATCCATGTCCCTCCTGATGATCAACATCTTCATCCACATGAGTAAATGGATTCTCCTCTCCCTTCAGCTCTCAGCTTCTCTTGTCTCTCTCCTGCGCTGCATTTTCCCCCTCTTTTATTTAATTAGTCATCCATTGCCATCTGCGTAATTGTGTTGTGCCAGATTCCTGGACGTAGGGAGGATTGGGGGCTGTTAAAGTGGAGAGAAAACATTGTTAGTGAACTTAATAGAAGTAAACTCAAGTGTTGTTATTTATGCATGTGTTTTCAGTACGGGATCAGGTCCGGACTAAGATGGAGCGGGACATCCTGGTGGAGGTTAATCATCCCTTTATTGTTAAGCTACACTATGGTGAGCGCTGGTCATCATTAGCCAATCTGAATGAAGAGCAGCTGCTGATTTAATGTTGTGTTTACCAGTGAACGCATTCGCTTTTCTCTCACAGCATTCCAGACCGAAGGAAAGCTTTATCTGATTCTGGACTTCTTAAGAGGAGGCGATCTCTTTACTCGACTGTCAAAAGAGGTATTTAATGAATGGTTTAGGGTAATAATGATACACAAAATTGACAAATCACTTTTTAAATTTTTGACCAGTGTTGAAGTGTTAAAGTTGTGTTCTGGCTGATTAAGATGTGAAGCATATTCTATACTTTTTTCTGTTCTTTTTTTTCCTCTGCTCAGGTGATGTTCACTGAAGAGGATGTGAAGTTTTATTTGGCCGAACTGGCTTTGGCTCTGGATCATCTGCATGGACTGGGCATCATTTACAGAGATCTGAAACCAGAGAAGTACTGAATGTTCTCTAAATAAGCCTATATACAGTGGAGCAAAAAAGGTATTTAGTCAGCCACCAGTTGTCCAAGTTTTCCTACTTAAAAAAGATGAGAGAGGCCTGTAATTTACATCATATGTCTCAATTATGAGAGACAAAATGAGAATATAATCCAGAAAATCACATTTTAGGATTTTCAATGAATTAATTTGCAAATTATGAAGGAAAATAAGTATTTGGTCAATAACAACATTTCATCTCAATACTTTGTTATATACCCTTTGCTGGAGATGGCAAAGGTCAAACGTTTTCTGTAATGCCGAGTTCAGATTTTAGCCCTGATTTTGACTCGCTGACAGATTTTGAGAAATCGCCGACAAATGCCTCAAATCACAGTCAAATCTGTACTCGTTCATGTGAGTGACAATCACACAGTATGAACTATCAAGGATGCGATATGAGAGATTGCTGATGAGTCGCCGACACCAGTGAGATATTTGGCATGCTAAATATCTGGAGCTGTCAGCAATTCAAATCATGCCATGTGAAAAGTTTTACTGATAGAAAATAACATCCCCGATCACCTACAGCCTATAAGAGGGCAGCATTGACTAGTAAAGGTACCTGCAGGCCAGCGGGAGGCTGAGGAAGAAGTTAAAGCGCTTATTTTCCATTTATTTGGACCCAAGAAATTGAGGAAAAACTAGTGTATATTTGTTTTACGTATCATCTAAGCAATATGACAACCAGGTTGAAAAGGGAAAAAAAGTTGAGGAGAGATTGTTAATTCTCTTCAAAAGCCAGGTGAGCAGCACAAATTTCTAAAGCTAAAGCCTTCTTTTTCCATTATGTAGTTAATAACGAAAGAAATATTACGTGACCTTGCGTTGTTTACATGTTACTTCTTGCGTTTGTTTGGTTGTGAGACGTAGTTTGGACAAAGTTGTCTGTGATTCTTCCTATTTAAAGTCCTGCAGTGTGAACTCTCCTGTCGCCAATCCATCCTACAGTGTAAACACAGCACAGACAGAACGCTAACCCAGAGAATCATGCATTGTGGAAACATCATTTGAAAATTATGCAGTCTGAACTCAGCATAAGTCTTTACAAGGTTTTCATACACTCTTGCTGGTATTTTGGCCCATTAATTTATGCAGATCTCCTCTAGAGCAGTGATGTTTTTGAGCTGTCACTGGGCAATACAGACTTTCAACTTCCTACAAAGATTTTCTTTGTGGTTGAAATCTGGAGACTGGCTTGGCCACTCCAGGACCTTCTTACAAAGCCACTCCTTTGCACGTGTGGTGTGAAAGACTCAGCCATGTATCATCTCCTATGCCCTTGTTGATGGAAGGAGGTTTTCACTCAAAATCTCACCACCTGGCCCCATTCATTCCTTTCTTTACATTGATCAGTCATCCTAGTCTCTTTGCAGATGTTTCATGATGTTTCCACCCCCATGCTTCACAGTAGGTATGGTGTTCTTTGGATGTAACTCAGCTTTCTTTCTCCTCCAAACACAAGTTAAGTTTTTACCAAAAAGTTCTATTTTCGATTCATCTGACATTCTCCCAATCCTCTTCTGGATCATCCAAATGCTCTCTAGCAAACTTCAGATGGGCCTTGACATGTACTGGCTTAAGCAGGGGAACACGTCTGGCACTGCATGCTTGAGTCCCTGGCGGTGCAGTGTGTTAGTAATGGTAGCCTTTGTTACTTTGGTCCCAGCTCTCTCCAGGCCATTTACTAGCTCCCCCATTGTGGTTCGGGGATTTTTGCTCACAGTTTTTGTAATCATTTTGACCCCACAGGGTGAGATCTTGCATGGAGCAGCAGATCGAGGAAGATTGTCAGTGGTCTTGTATGTCTTCCATTTTCTAATAATCCCACAGTTGATTTTTTTAACAGGCTGGTGCAGGTCTACAATTTTGCTTCTCTTTGGTTTTGGCCATAGGGGAGATTGGAGTGTGACTGTTTAAGGTTGTGAACAGGTGTCTTTTATACTTATAATGAGTTCAAACAGATGTCATTAATACAGGTAACAGGTGGAGGACAGAGGATCATCTTAAAGATGAATTTACATGTCTGTGAGAGCCAGAAATCTTGCTTGTTTGTAGGTGACCAGATACTTATTTTACAGAGAAATTTATGAATGAACTCATTCAAAATCCAACAATGTGAGTTTCTGAATTTTTTTTTCTATTTAGTCTCTCATAGTTGAGGCATACCTATGATGAAAATTACAGACCTCTCTCATCTTTTTAAAGTGGTAGAACTTTTGGTGGCTGACTAAATACTTTTTACCCCACTGTAAAGTTGACACAATTTAATAAAGTGTGTCTTTATTTATCATAACATAATTAAACAAAGAGACTTATATATGGTCTTATATATGAAAAATTAAATAATTAGTTTTTGTTTTAAATGTTTTTTGTGTTGTTTTATAAGTTTTGACTGTTTACAAACAATTAGGGGGGTACTAAAAGTAAATTTGGTAGAAAATAAATATTTTTATATATACTTTTATTTTGCAAGGGTGCATGAAATTGATCAAACGTGACAGTAAAGACTAGGGCTGCACGATATTGGAAACATTTTGTTTTGCTGTGATTATTTATTGCGATATAGAATATCATTTCACCAGGCGATTTGAATACCTCTATTTGGAAGGATTTCATTCATTTAGACAGACTGGCATGATCAACTCTTTTTCTATGCTGTGCATCAGTATAAAATATAAGAAATTACAAGCATATAGAGTATAAATACAATGGAGCAAAAATGAAAGTTAAATAAACAGTGCATTATTGTTTTCTAGGGAGTATAACAGTATTTAAATGCAGAAATTGAACAATCAAACGTAAAATTACATGGTCATCAATGTAGAAATATTTAATCGTTGATCGTTGATAAACTAATAATAATCTAATCCTGTGATGGGACAATTGCGAATGCACACATTGCGATAGTGATGCTGAAATAATATATTGTTCAACTTTAGAAAAGACAAAAGATTTTTCATTTGAATAAATGTTGTTCTTTTTAAATAAAAAAATATCATTATTTACACCAAAATAATCTTTAAAAAATGTAAGCAGTTTTTTTAAAACATTGATTTTAAAGGGTCATGACACCCCCCACTTTCGGTTCAAGTCTACCTCGGAATTTTTTCAAAAGGTGCATCATAATGGGCATGGAGCTCCGCGAGCAAAGGGCAGGAGTGGGCGCGGCCAGCAGGGGGAAGAAGGGCAGCGAACAACTGTTGTCAGTTAGCTCACAAAATGAAACACAAACCGTGAGGAGTTGCATGATTTTATTGTTTACAAAGTTAAAATGCAAAAAAACAAACAGTCATTTAATGCCCTGCTATATTTTTTATTCGTAATTTCATATACAGATAACCACAATTTTTATCATTATAAAGATAATCGTGTTCATATAAACACTATAAATGAGAACTTTTCCCTCAATCCCCGGGTCTGAATCATAGGTCTGAATGCAGACTCAGTGAAGCAGGTCTCTTGCCCTGTCTATTTTAACCATTAGCCCTGTCTAAAAATCTATGAAAGGGAATTAAACTGAAAGTCTCGAACCAAAAAGATTCAAATGGCTGCACCTGCTTCTACTTGAAGAAAAAGGTCAATAATCATTCAAAATAACAGATATATTTATATCATGATAGAAAGATTTTGACAAAATGTACAGATTTCGTGGAGAAAAAAATGGGCTGAACATAAATGATTTGTAACCCTCGGTACACAAATGTATTATAAGATTTAATCAATGGACCAGATGCTCAGAAGTCTAAATTCCTCCAAAGAGAGAGAAGATACAACAACAGTGAAGGACTCGGACACAGAGGTAAGAATATTAAAAGATTGTATTGTAAAATGTTCACAGAAATATAAAATAAATAAATAAATAAAAATAAATAAATAAAACAAATTCTAGGTTTTTTCACACTTATCTAATGACCTCAATCTTATTTACACTCTCTAATATAACTTCTCTTTTTTCACAGGCTATATCACTAATAAGGTAAGTTAATATTGTTGTTTTTCTGTTTTTCTATTGTTAAGGCTAATATTATATTTTGGTTACTATTATAACAATAATATAATATTAATATGCTAATAACAGTACTATATTAAAGGTTTGCAAGTGTAAGTTAATAATACAATATTAAAATTGTATTATTATTTAACATATAATCAAGATTTCCCTTCTTAAATCAGTTAACCTCTCTCTATAAAGATTCAAAAATTGCAACGAATGAACACTCTAAAGGAACAATGTACAAATAAAATAAAAATGAAAATAAAACATTCACTTAAAACATTTCAAAATGTTCCAAAAGTCCAGTAAAGGTGATAAACTTTCAAAAAGATTCTTTTGCAAAACAACTAGGTTGCAAATTCAGTTCCAGAGATCCAGGATGTTGCACTTGTGAGTGTGTTGTAAATTTACACTCCTACCATGACGCAGAATAGGTTTTACTTTGTATCTTTTCAACAGGTGTATCCAAAGAATCCACTCAATGGGAGGCTCGCCAGTCCAACTCCACAATTAGACACGCCGATGGAAGTTGAGACAATCCAAATCCAGAAAAGAGTTCAAACTTCAATTAATTCGAATCCAGAGCAGATCACATCCAGCAACTGACGTCAATAGAACATCTCACCGATGAAAAACCAGAAGATGCACAATCGAACAAAACCAAGGAAAAGAAAAAAAAAAACCTGGCCTTGAAAACACAAGGCCAAAGAAACCATTAGCATTTTACAGTGTATGCATTAACTCAGCTTAACACATTTCTAAATAAACAGCAACAGTAAATAACCATGTATATGCTTCTCTCTGCTGAATTTCTGTGTTTTTCTTATTTCTCTCTCCTATTTGGCATTTTCTTTTTATAAATGACAGCATTTTACTCTCTCACTTAAACTTTACACAATCACTTGTATAATACTCTGTATAATACTTTGTTTTTACTAGACCAAACAAATGGTTAATTAATGAAACACATTTTTCGACACTAGTTTAAATCATGTTATAATGAATACAATAATAATTAATAAAAACACGAACTCACCAAGGAAATCATTCAAAATCAAAACGAAACAAACAGGAAAACTCCAGGTGGCACTCGTGTGCAGATTTCACTCTCAGAGACAAATCTTGTTTTTTTTCTTCTCTCAATCCTTCATTAAAAATATACGATTGAAATCATGTCAGCATCTTATTAATGGTCAATTTTCACAGTTAATACGCATTAAAACATTAAAAGATGTAAATCTAATAGTTTTCTGCTGTTATTAATATAACAACTTACATCTCTGCTTTCCCTTGCGAACACTGAATCACCATAGCAACGGTAAACACAAGCTAACAGACAAGCGAGATTTGTTATTGTTTGGAAAGCTGATCTGCTGCTATAGTGTAAGGCACGATGATGTCATTCTAAAGCACTATTCCCTTGAATGCTGTATAATACTCTATTATAAATTATTTATATAAGTAAATAATTTTAATGTATATTATTTAATCGAGTATTCTGCCAATGTTTTTTCCTCATATTTCTATTTGCTCTATTGCTGTATACTACCCACTAGTAACCTGGGTTACACATTAAATAAACTTTTAATTTTTCATCAAAAGATTAAAGATTACTTAATCCAAGTATGCCAGACATTATTGATATTTCAGTATAAATCATTGTAAAAAAAAATAAATAAAAGTAAATATTTATAATAGCACATTCTTTAAAGCTTGCTTTAATACTTGGAAAAACAGCTTTTCATCTTTGACCCTCATCTATTTTTTTCTGTTCCGTCTTACTTTAGTTTTTTCCCTCTGTTTATCACTCAATCACACTCACACATTCTCTCTTTTTTTCCCCTCACTGCCGGCTATAAGGTCATCCATAAATCACATTTATGTCTGCAGAGAACAGGGCTATAAAAATAATGCTTGTAGTCTTGTAGTCGTGACATATAAAGCGAATGGCAATAGAAAGTAAGGCGACCCTTTGTGCGAGTGTGTTAAATGGCTTTTTAATGCTGTGAATGTGTGTCATTTCAGCATTCTCCTGGACGAGGACGGCCACATAAAGCTGACAGGTAGGTAATTTCAGATTGCGGGAACGGCTGCATCAGCATGATGCCACCTTGAGCGTTTAGGGCTTTGTGTTGAGACCGTTTGACTTGCGGTCTCATGGGAAGGCAGACAGATGATTTAACCTTCCTTCTCTAGAGCTTTATCTATAGTGTCTAAACCACACTTTGGTTTTGCGCAATTATTATGGATAATTAAGATGCTGTTTCAGTAATTTTTAGATATATTATTGCTGTATTTGTTTGTATTTTGAATTAGTTTTCATGTAAATGTAGTTTATGTTGTGATTATTATTCAGTTTGTTATTTTTTTAAATTTCTACTATATACAAAAATACAGGGGTTCTCAACCTTTTTCACTTCAGGGCCCACGTCTGACATTTTTCTTAAACTGTCTAGAGAAAATGTTTATTTTAAACATTTGTTTAATTACTTTTATTAGCAAAACATTTATTTTGCTTATTAGTATTAGCATATTACTGATAAAGTATCATTATCTTGGGAGTATCCATGTGAGACTCCTGTTATAAAACACTAATTTGGACAACTATGCTGATTTTTTAAAGATTTACACAAAGAAAACATGCATAGTTTGTGAATCAATGGAAATGTGCAATTCTTATACGAGTCGCTGACGTGAGGCACGCGTGAACTGGTTATAACTCTTAATTATAGGTACCTTTACATTTGCGGGATGGTTTGTATACAGCTGAGCATGTGGTCCTAGTTGTATTTGTTTGTATTTAAAGTTTTCATTTTAAAATGTAGTTTATGTTGGAATTATTATTCAGTTTGTTGTTTTTTTTATATTTCTAATACTGTATATATATATATATACTTGTTTTGATCATTTTAATTTATTTTATTTCAGTTATTTTGCTAGGCTAATTATTTTGAACTATTTTTAAAAATATATAAAATATAACATAATTATATTTTACTTTGCTTTGTGGAATTAGTATGATAATTTAAGGTGTTGTTTTATTATTTTTATTTTTTATTTTTTTGTCATGGAATTTTTATTCTGGCAAATACCATATTATATATTTTATAGCATCCGACAAATCAATCACCAAATAAAACAATCAGCATCTGCAAATGAATAAATAAATAAAGTAAATAAATAAATAAAATAAACAAAATAATAATAAATAAAATAAATACAAATACAGAAAAAAAAATTATAATAACAAACCAAATACATACATACAAATGTCCCTTCACTCAATCCACATCTAAGGTTTTTAAGTGATTAAAGAATGCAGTAAATTGTGGCCATTTTTCAAAAAACTGTTCTCCCCTACCTTTGATATTCTATTTAATTTTCTCAAGTTTTAAAAAGAAGGCTAAATCTTTGAGCCACAATGAAATAGAGGGGGGTTGTGGGGATGTCCAAGACAACAGTATTCTGTGCCTAGCGAGAAGAGAGGCAAAAGCCACAATGTCAGATGAGAGGGAACACCAAAGTTAGCGATTAAAGGGCATACAGCTAACTTGTTTTATTCTTTTTAAATATATCATTGGTATATTTGTTTCTATTTTGAATTAGTTTTCATATATTTAGTTAGTTTTCATTTTCATTCGTTGTTTTTAACTATTTTGAATAATATAACATATTTATATTTTACTGGATTTTACGCAGCAATTTGAATTGCTTTTATTTGTATTATTTATATGTTTTTAGTTTTCATCTTAATGTTTAGTTTATTTTCATTTATATGTTTATTTATGTTTATTTAGTAGAAATATTTATTTGTTTTTGAATGTATATGACTTTTTCATTGATTTATTTTATTTTTATTTAGATGCCTAGGCACCGTTTTTAATTTTGCTGTTATTTCCTTTTCAAAGTTTTATTGTACTATTTCATGTCGTTTCATTTTAGTTTATACTAAAAACGTTGATGTTGCTGTACTGAAAGTGTGTTTGTGTGTTCTCAGACTTTGGGCTCAGCAAAGAGTCGATCGATCATGAGAATAAGGCTTACTCTTTCTGTGGGACGGTTGAGTACATGGCTCCAGAGGTGGTGAATCGAAGAGGACACACATACAGCGCTGACTGGTGGTCTTATGGCGTACTCATGGTAAGTGACATTTTATACATAATAATAATTATTGTTGTTGTTGTTTTTACAGTTTATTTTTAAATGTAAAAATTGTTTAAAATTGTATTTTAAAATTATATATATTGTAGTGTCTTTGAAATGTGTTTATGTGTTTATTAAATGTGTAAAAGTCTGGTAGTTTATCATTTATCATTTTTAAAAGTTTTTGTTTAGTTTTTGTATTTATTTATTTAATTAATTTTCAGTTTTTTTATTTAAATATTATAAACCTAGTTGGAACAATCTATAAACCCGTTCCAGTACTTCATTTTTAAAAATGAAATGTATTAATAATAATAATATTTATTTAATAAATTTTGAATTTTTATTTCATGTAAATATAATGACCTTAGTTGGAACAATCTATAAAAGTGTTACAGGACTTACATTTAAAAAATAAAATGTAGTTATAATCATAATAATAATTATTATTATTATTTTTACAATATTTTTTTTATTTAAAAATATTGTAGTGTGTTAGAAAATGTGTTTATTTGTTTATTAAATGTGTACATTTTTGTTAGTTTGCTTTGACATTTTTAAAAGTCTTTGTTTAGTTTTTTTTTAAATTAATAATAATAATTATTATTATTTAATGATTGATTGATTTACTGATTTTTTCAGTTTTTTTATCTATTTTATTTTATTATTATTATTATTATTATTATTATTATTTATTGATTTTTCAGTTTTTTATTTAAATAAAATAACCCTAGCTGGAAAAATCTAGTCTATTTAATTAATTAATTAATTTATTTATTTATTTGTTTATTGTTATTATTATTATTATTATTATTATTATTTATTAATTAATTAATTAATTTATTGTTCAGTTTTTTATTTAAATATAATAACCCTAGCTGGAACAATCTATTTTATTTATTTAATTATTATTTATTTATTTATTTATTTTTCAGTTTTTTATTTATATATAAAAATCCTGGCTGGAACAATCTAGAAAAGTGTTCAAGCACTTACATTTTAAAAATAAAATGTAATAATTATAATTTTTTATTAATTGTACATTGTGTTTTTTTTTTATTTAAAACATTTTAAACATTACATAAAATATTGTAGTGTCTTTAAAAAGTGTTTATTTGTTTATTAAATGTGTAAATGTTTTTGTTAGTTTGCTTTTTCAATTTTAGAAGTTTTGTTTAGTTTGTTTATTTGTTAACATTTATTTTATTATTTAATCAAATAAGAATAATAATTACTTGTTTTTTTTTTATGTAATAACCCTAGCTCGAACCATCTAGAAAAGTGTTCCAGCACCTTCAGCCATTAATCACTGCAACATAAACCAAAAATAATGATAATAATAATTACTGAAATTCATATAACACCCTTCCTAAAAAAAACAACTTGTTTTATTCTCAGTATGAAATGCTGACAGGAACGCTGCCATTCCAAGGCAAGGACCGCAAGGAAACCATGACCATGATCCTAAAGTGAGTGTTTGAAGGCCTCATCCTTCCTCTTTCCGCTGTCCACTTTATCTAAACACATTCATCCAGTCTGAGTGGAAGAGTCTGCTAACATCTGGACAACAATCTGCTAAGCGCTGGAGTAATGAGGATAAGCCCTGGGTTTAGCTGACGGTGCTGTTTAGCGCAAAGTCTAACCACTTAACTATCAGTAAACACTCAACCGCAAAAAATAGACGTCACAAAGCGTCCTGCTGAGGGCTGTATTACGCTCCTCTAGTACTGATGACTATAGTTAGTTCTGTTTGACAGCTTCGATTAACTGTAAGAATGTGGGTTTGGCGAGGTGATGGTTTGTCAATTACAGTGTTCATTGGAGGCTCCTGCAGACCACTGATAACAATGATAATTACCACTGATATGAATACACAAAGGATCAGCTGTGGAGGTGATGTCAGAGAAGATGACAGTGACTGGCCTTGTTATTTTGGTGTTATCTGACCTCTAGGCTTACAGTATGTGGACCGGGTTTTATCATCATGTTACTTAAACATTATTTTTGCTAAGTGTGTTTTATGTGCTGAAAGAAGAACAATTACTACTAAAAACAAGCCAATCAAAAGAGGAAAAACATTTAATTGGTTGACTGAACGTGTGTGTTCTTCAGTCTGGAGTGTGTTTCCAATACAACGAAGTAACTCATGGTTGAGGTAACAAAGTACAATACATTTTTTGGGAAATAAACAATGTTGTGACAAGTATTTCTCAAAATCTGTAGGAGATGCATCATTAAATCCGCTTTAGAACGTCGCTGGTTCGAGCCTCGGCTTGGTTAGTAGGCATGGGTTTCCTCTGGGTGCTTTGGTTTCCCCCACAAGTCTTAAGACATGTGCTGTATGAATTGTGTAAGCTAAATTGGCCATAGTGTATGTGTGTGATTGAGTATACATGGGTATTTCCCAGTGATGGTTTGCAGCTGGAAAGGGATCCGTTGTGTAAAACATTTCCTGGATAAGTTGGCGGTTCATTTCGCTGTCGTGACCCCGCCCCAGATTAATAAAGGGACTAAGCCAAGAATGAATGAATGAATAAAATTAGTAAATTTCCACTTGTTTGCTTCCCTTGGTCCCTGTATAGGTGATTGAAACACAGGGTAAACATGTGTAAACCGACATTTCCTTTCTTTTACAAATATGATTGAGACCCCACAATGTCAATATTGCAACAGACACCAAACTGTTGCAATATTCCACATATTCTTGTGGATGGCCCTATTTTTAATGTTATCAGAAAACGATTTTTTTATCTGGAGAGACTTCAAATTAAATATGTTTAAATGTGAATCCTCCAAAAAAAAAATCACAATTTTTATCAAAAGTAAACCTTAAACTGTTTTAGATTTTTTTTGTCTTATGTATTATTATCAATTATGCATTTTATCTTATATATTGTTTATAGATGTAGATAACTTTTTATTGTTAAAACATTTATACAATTATAGAAAAGTGATATTTATGAACTTGTTGTAAACTTGATCCATTCTTTTTTACAGTGACATAGCCAGAGAAGCTGATATGGCAAATAAATATGGCTGATATGGCTATCATGTGGCTCTTTTTCTCTCTCTATAAATATTATTGAGAATATTCCATATTTTTATTCTATTATTGTGAAGCTTATAATAAGCCTGTATTCCATATAATAGCTGCTGAAGCTAAAAAAGTTTCAGGAATAACTGTTACAAAAGTGTTTTGTATTGAAATACTTTTATTAATTACTTTTTTATTATTATTTTTTGTATTGTACTTTAAAAACACTTGAAAATTTTTAATTAAAACTAATAACATAAATTTTATTTTCTGAAGCTTTGAAAATGTAACAGATTTTCCCTTGAAAATCATAAAAGTGACTTTTTTTGCATTCAAAATGACCATTTTTTCGGAGTGCACTTTGAGGGGAGCACAATTGTCAGTCTGAAAATCAATCAAACTAGACTCCATTCAAAATAACTTGACATAAATTGTCAACTTTAAGCTTTCAGAGTCATTTAGAGTGGATGGTGAATGGAATAAGGCATAGGGTGGATAACTCTGATTAAAACAAAGCCAGGAACTATGCTGCAAACCACAGCTCTAGTGTTGTAATTCCAACTACACAAGTTTGTGACCTTATTTGCGAATGTTCATTGGAACAATGGATTTGGCAAACACTGAATTTCCATATTACTTTGGTCACAGTAGAACTTACAAACTTCGTTGGCTGACAGTGGTTTTGTGAAATGCACCTCTGATTGGCTGAAGTAGTAGTTCACTTCCAGAATAAGAAATTCTGTCATCATTGGTGTCTAAACAGTCCATTGATTTCCATAGAGTAGGGAAGTAAATGGTGACCAATTGTTCTAGAAGTGAACTTCTCCTTTAAAAATAAAGGGATAACCAACAGTCCTTTGTTAAGCATCAAACTGTATTTGTACTGCCTCTGCATGTATTGCCAATCTGACCTCTTGACTTTTTTTGCAGGGCGAAGCTTGGGATGCCTCAGTTTTTAAGTTCAGAAGCTCAGAGTCTCCTCAGGAGCCTTTTCAAACGAAACCCTACTAATAGATTAGGTAAGACCAATTGAAAGTGATGGTTGTTTTAGAATACTATTATTAAGCAATCATGCATTAAATTAGTCAAAGTTGAAATGATATCAAATCATTTTTAAATGTGCATAGTGCAATATGTTGGCATAAATCCTAAAATATGCATTAAACCTTATGAGCTCAATTTTTTGATACAGTAAAATAAAAAATAAAAAAATCATGTATTAAAGCAACAAAGTTTATGTCTCCAACTTCCCACTTGCACCAATTTATGAGGAATTAACTATTTTATACAGTTTCATTCACAAACTGTTCCAAACAGTAGTGCATTAGCAGAACTGAATGTTAATTTCTGTGTATTGATATTTGCATATTTGATTTTTAATTGACTGCTTCTCTGCAGGTGCTGGTCCAGATGGAGTTGAAGAGATAAAGAGACACCCATTTTATGTTTCTATTGACTGGAATGTGAGTTTTTTACTGGAACATTCACTTACTTTGAATAGGGATAAAGCTTTACAATAAAGTCCTGTTAGTTAATAAAAATTACATACAAACAATGTTACAAATAACACCAGTTTTTATGGATATGGGTACTACATTTACATTTTTATAGTAGCATTATTTATATTAATTTTTGATTTTATAATTTTACAATTACAAAAGATGCTTTTGAATTACTGAATTTACATTAATAATGTTATATTATTTAAGAAATATACATATTTAAATGTTTTAATTACACTAGTTCACAGGTGAAACATTTAGCTAGTATTATTTTCTTAATAGTTCATGTTAACTAACATAGTTAACAAATAAAACCTCAAGTTTTACCTGAATAAGTGGCCGAATGGTGGTTGTAATGTTCATTTTCATGCTTTGTATGTCTCAGAAATTATTTAGAAGAGAAAGTCACCCACCCTTCAAACCAGCCACTGGCAGACCAGACGACACATTCTACTTCGACCCAGAATTTACCGCAAAAACTCCCAAAGGTACACCAGCTTCTAATCGACTAGATCAGGTAGACTGTGTGTTTGTCATCCATCTTTTATCCCCTTTGAGACAAACACCAAAACCTATTTAATGCAACTCTGCTCTGCCTCTCGAAATCTGTTGGATGATTTGATGCTGTATTAAACACTGGATCTGCCACCGGATGAAATCTATTCATAGCTTTTTTTTTTTTACTTTTTTTTACTTTTTTTACACATCCTCATGTTTCTGGCAAAGAACAATATATGGTACTGTAACTTCATTTACATTATTTACAATATAATTGTTTTTCATAAAAGTTCAAAAGCCTTGTAATAACCTATCAAGCCATGTGTTTACATGCACATTCTTAAGCCAATTATGCCTAATAGGCTAATACGTGTAATGTCATGTAAACACATTACCCGGCTTTCTTTTATTGGTTAAAGGTCAAAAACAGCTTAACCAAAATCTAATTAGAACAGGAAGTTTTTTTGTCCAACATTCCAATTTGGTGTTGCATATAAGCGCCTTTATCGGTTTGCACTCAAGTTACTTAAAGGGGTTACAAATGGTGTATATACTCCATTTGTACAAATATCATTTTCATGTAAACATAGTCTAAAGGCTGACACTGAATCTGAAATTTTCGTTCGTAATTTTCACGTTAAAAAATTATTTCGACGTCACATTGAGTCAAACGTATGGACACACTGCCTCAAAAACTTTCGTCCATCACAAAAAAAAATTTGCTTTTCGCATTCGAAAAAATGCTTTAAGAGGTGTTTTGACAGTTCAGAGCCACGAAAAGCAAAAAGCTGAATACAGAATATCTTCATTTGAGCTACAGATTACACATTATAACAGTTTATAAAATAAAGACAAAATGTGGCGATCATTTGAGAACCCCTGTATGCTGTATTCAGTGCCTGGCGCACCTCTCCCCTGCTGCTGACTCCGACATGTTTTGCATTTTTTTGAAATGGATTAATGAATACGCATCGACTCAGTGTGCAATGTTTGTTTACGTGACAAATTTTTCACATTTTACTGACTATAAGAAACTTTGCAAGTAAATTTCAAATTATGCTGAGTTCAGACTGCATGATTTTCAAAGTAGTCGTGTCACAGATGTTTTTACACTGCATGACTTACTGGGCTTGCGTTTTGTCGCTGCTTTGTTTACACTGCAAGATGGATCGTCGACAGGGGCTTTCACATTGCATGACTTTAAAATAGGAAGAATCACCGACAACTTTGTCCAAACTACGTCTCGCAGCCAAAAACACGTAGCATATCTTTTGTTATTTACTACATAACGAGATAGAAGACTTCTATGGGGTAGAAAATGTACATATTTGCTCATCTAGGTTTGAAGGGAATTAGCAATTTTTGCTCAACTTTCTATTTTAGCTTTCTGTATGAAACGTCAAACAGATACGGGTGCTCATGTCAAACCTCCACTAGTTTTTCCTCTATGTCTTGAGTCCAAATAAACCGAATATGAGCGCTTTTTTCCCCTCAACCTCTCACTGGTCTGCAGGTACACACACAAGTAAATGCTGCTCTCTCATTGGCTGTAGGCGATCGCCGATGTTATTTTCAGTCAAAACTCATTTCACACGACAGGATTTGAATCGCCAACAGCTCCAGATATTTAGCATGCCAAATATCTCACAGACATCAGCGACTCATCTGCGATTATCTCAGATGGTTGCTTTGATAGTTCATACTGTGTGATTGTCACTCGTGTGAACGAGCACCAATTTGCCTGTGATATCAGGTATTTGTCTGCGATTTCTCAAAACCTGACGGCGAGTCAAAATCAGGGCTAAGTCTGAACTCGGCATTACACTAACCATAACCCCAATCTAACAGTCAGCTTATAATCTAATGAGAATTAGTTGGCATGTAGATGCAATGTAACTTAAATTCAACACGCATTAAAGGGATCATCAAAATAAAGTGATACTGTTATATTGATGTCTTGATATGCTAATAGTTTCTTTTTGACCCTCTGAAATAAACTATGAGAATACATTTTAAAAGTATTTAATGTTTAGTAAGATTTTGTGAATTTGTGTGACCAAAGCATAACATTTGGTGCTACTCCCCATGGATACAAGTAGTTATCCATTAGTCACAATTGATGAAATAAGTAGATTTATGGACACTAGACACAATAGGTATTAGAGGTACTACTGTACATGCCATGACTGATAATGAGTCTGGTATCCTAGGTGAGTGTTGTATCCTGTGTAGGCTCAGACTAAAAAAATAATTTTAGTACTCTACACTGTTAAAAAATACAGGTTGCCTTACATGTTTAAGCTGAATCAAATTAATCTTATGAGTCATTTTAACTTATATTACATTAAACTTAAGCTTGCTTAACTTATAAAATTAAGTTAGAACCCAACCAACTTAGTTTAATAAGTTACAATTAACTAAAAAGAAATGTTGTCATGACTAATTGATCATATCATCTTTTACAGTGTAGAGTGTAGTCATTATCTTGTGATGTCCACGGAAAAAATGTTACCTTCTGGTGGTTCTAGTGTTAAAGACTAGATCAAAACATTGGTGTGTATTGGTTTATGTTTTTTTTTATTTTAGATTCTCCAGGTGTACCTCCTAGTGCCAATGCCAATCGACTTTTTAGAGGGTTTAGTTTTGTGGCCATCACTTCAGAAGAAGAATCTCAATCCCTGCCGAGCAACAGCATGTCATCTATAGTTCAGGTATGTGCACTTGCATAACACGTTTCCTCCAAATTAAACCTGTTTCTTCATTTTAATGACTGCATTTACATCTTGGTTGTATTGTGTATTTATAGCAGCTCCACCGAAACGTGTCTCAGTTTAGTGACGCATATGAGGTGAAGGAGGATATCGGCATTGGTGCTTATTCCATCTGCAAACGCTGCATTCAGAAAAGCACAATGATGGAGTATGCAGTGAAGGTGAGGAAAGAATTATATTAGAACACCACAATACCAGATATAACCGTATATTAGCAGCAAATCAACCCTTTAAAAAAAAGCACTTGAACTTCTTTAGCTAATAGATTTTAAAACTTTATATTATTAACTAATGTAGGTAAATATTGGATATGTTATACATTTATAAATATTAGTGCCGTGCAAAGATTAATTACATCCAAAATAAAAGTTTGTTTTGACATAATATACAGTCAGATATAAAGTCATATGTTCTACTAAAACATTTAAAATATCTTCAGTGATTACCTGAAACTATGAACTAAACCAGGACCCCCTCTTTTCTCACCCCCACCACATCACATGACAACCTCAAAACATTTCTGAAATTCTGAGTGACTCACAAAGGTGAGTGGGCTAGACAAACCACCTGTAGAAAACATACTCTTTCATCAGACATTTGCACTAGACACATTCTTACAGTCACTCCATATCTATTAAAAAACTCGAGGTGGTGAGTGGGCTTGACAAACAACCTGTAGAAACCCAAAACCCACTACCCCCTACTCTAGCTTTTAATTCTCTGAGCACTTTATTTGTACAATTAGTCTCTTCTTGTTAAATTCCTGAATGCGTCCTCAATTGTAAGTTGATTTGGACAAAAGTGTCTGCTTACTGACTGAATGTAAATCATTTATAATCAATTAAATTACCTATAATTGAATTATTGTGCATCCCTGTTAAAAACATTCATTTTTAAAGTATTACCCCTTTTAAAGGCTGTCTATTTAATATATGTTTTATGTCTGTATGTATATTTATGTTTAGATTATCAGCAAGGCTAAACGGGATCCTGCGGAGGAGGTGGAAATTCTATTACGCTATGGACAGCATCCAAATATAATCACCTTGAAAGACGTGAGTGTTTAAAAACAATGATGGAGTCTTTTATTTTCATCTATAATGATGATCAACAATGCACCATGGCGGCAGACTCTAAGCTCAGTTTTATTGGCTGAATGCAATTATATTAAGGTAATGTCTTGTTCTTTTCAAAGAGCATCGATGTGTTTACCTGAAACCGATTCTGCTCTGACATTTCCTGAACGAGGGAAGAAAATAATGAGTTCCTGCTCTTATTGTCTTTCCTGTAAATTACTCAGAGCAGGTTATCCATTATCGGTCCGCTGTGTTTCCATACATTAGAAATGCACGTGCATCAAGCTTTTCTTAAAGGAACAGTTCATCAAAAAAAATAAAACTCACTCATCCTAAGGCTGTCTAAGACAGAGTTTTTTCTACGATAGAATACAACATAAGATTTTAAACTGAAACTGTTGTATTTTGAGACCCATAAAGTCAAAGTCAGCAATTTTGCAGAAACAAACCCTTTAAATGAAAATCAAAATCAAAATAGTTTTACTTTTCAGTCCATTTACTGCATCTGGAGTCATGAGTATTCCTTTTGTTTTGTTTTAGCTTTTATTAATCACCAAGGACCCTCATTTTGAGCTAAAAATCTAATGTTCTGCTGAAAAAAAGTCGTCTTGTAGTATTGATGAGTTATTTATTGCATTTTCACTAAAATTGTGATTTCATAAAATGTGATTTTTTTTTATAATTATAATGTGGTCATGTGACACTTATAAAGCACTCTACAGCAGAGAAGCATCAGACTTCAGGTGTTGCTGGTGTGTTTTCTGATACTATTGAGATTTCCTATAAATATACACCCTACGGCCACTTTATTAGGTACACCTGTCCAATTGAGCATTGTGTCAACGCCACAGCCTCCTAAGTATTGTTGCTGACCATGTCCATACCTTTAGGACATCAGTGTACCCATCTTCTGATGGCTACTACCAGCAGGATAATGGAACAGCTGGTTTCTTGAACATGACAATGAGTTCACTGTACTTAAATGGCCTCCACAGTCACAAGATCTCAAGCCAATAGAGCACCTTTGGGATGTGGTGGAACGGGAGATTTGCATCATGGATGTGCAGCTGACAAATCTGCAGCAACTGTGTGATGCCATCATGTCAATATGGACCAAAATCTCAGAGGAATATATACAGTACCTTGTTGAATTTATGCCACGAAGGATTAAGGTTGTTATGAAGACAAAAGTGGGTCTAACCCGGTACTAGTAAGGTGTACCTAATAAAGTGGCCTGTGAGTGTATGTCTTTAATAAAGTCACATTATGTATTTCTATAATGCAGGCATTATAGGGATTTCACATATATGCACACAATATTTGTCCATTTTTGCATGACAAATTATTGTTGTTGTAAAGTCATTTGTTAATCATGTTTAAGACAGATTTGCTAAGCATTTCAACCTGTTTGATTCAAATTAATTTGCTAACTTATTGTGTAAACCGCTTAAATTGTAACTTTAAAAACCAAAAGTGAAACTAGTGTAGTAAATATTATTGTTTTGTGGCCAAGTTTGAAAGATTTATTTAAAGATGATCGTTATTAGATACACAGCACACTAATATTAAGCTAGCCATACTGTATAACCAATTATCATTTGTATTTGTTAAATAATACTGAAAATAATAGAGCTTTAAAGGGATGGTTCACCCAAAAATGGAAATTCTGTCATCATTTACTCACCCTTTACTTGTTCAAAGCCTATTTGGGTTTCTTTCTTCTGTTGAGCACAAAAGAAGATATTTTGAAGAATGCTAGTAGTGGACATACATTGATTTCCATAGTAATTTATTTTCTTACTATAGAAAACAATGGGTGCCAAAACCAGCAAAATATCTTCTTTTGTGTTTAACAGAAGAAAAAAACTCGTGAAGCTTTAAAAGCACATGAGAGAGAGTAAATATTGAGGTCATTTTCATTTTGGGTTGAGCTATCCTTTTAAATAAAATCACATATACTGGTCAATTACATTTATTTCCTAAAAATAGCCAGAGGGCGAGTAAAATAACAGGAAATATAGATTTTGTACTGTGAGAAATTGAAGCTCAGTGATACATCTGTCTGTGTTTGCAGGTGTATGATGATGGCCGCACTGTGTATCTGGTGACGGAGCTGCTGAAAGGAGGCGAACTGCTGGATAAAATCCTCAGACAGAAGTTCTTCTCGGAGCGGGAGGCCTGTGCTGTGCTCCACACCATCACCAAAACTGTGGCGTACCTGCACGCTCAAGGCGTATGTACCCTAGCCTGTCTAAAGTTAAAAATGTAGGAGAGAATAAACTCAAATGTGTGTCGAGCTGTAATATGTTACGGGAGACAGAGGGACCACTGAAATACATTAAGATTGTGATCATGGAAAGCAAGTGTATTAACCACAGTCTGGTTTAATAACAACAGAAGCTGATTTCTTTCTGTTGCCTCTTTTGTTGGGCTCTGCACCGAGCATGACTGGTAGAGAGAAGAGAAGTTGTTCCCCAATTGATTAGGATAGGCAGTCCTGTCAGCCAATAGTGCTCCGAAGTAGGCGGTACCTGTGAAAATGACAGGGCAGGGAGAGAGAGAGATAGAGACAGAGACAGAAAGAACATACACGCACCAAAACAGTGTACAGTTCATAACAGGTAGTAGTAGTAGTGGTTGTTGTTGATGTTGTTGTAGTAGTTGTTGTTGATGAAGTAGTAGTTGTTCTAATAGTTGTGGTAGTAGTAGTAGTTGTTTATGTTGATCTTGTTGTTGTTGATGTTGTAGTAGTAGTAGTAATAGTTGTAATAGTAGTTGTTGTTGTAGTCGGAGTTGTGGTAGTAGTAGTAGTTGTAGTAGTTGTTGATTTTGTAGTAGTCATAGTAGTTGTAATTGTAGTAGTACTGTAGTAGTAGTTGTTGTTGTTTTTGATGTTGTTCTAACCGTTTTAAAATTTGATCAATGAGCAATCATTACTCAAGTCTAAAGTGTCACATGACCTCTAAAAATCATTTTAAAAACTGCATAATATTTGTGCTGCAAATTAATATTTTTTTTCCCAGGACTTTTTAAAAATCAAAGTTTCGAAGTTGTTGAAATCCAAATTACCTGACATGTATGATTAAAAGATTTTTATTTATATAATAGACATTATTGATATCTTTACTGTAATGTAAAAGATTGAGTTTTAAACTATTTATTGCATCCTTAACAGAAAAAATTTAAGTCTATACTAAAATAATTAGAATTACAAAAATAATTGTAATAATTAAGTAAATTAAATGATGAAAAAGTATATTGATTTAACGATGATGCAGTTTTTTTGGATCACTCGGATACAATAGGAAATATTATTAAAAGTAGTGCTGGGAAAAAATGTATCATGATTACTCGCATCTAAAATAAAAGTTTGTTTTGACTTAATTTATGTGTGTGTGTACTGTATACATTTATTATGTTTATATAAATACACACATGTATGCATATATTTAAGAAAAGGTTTGTGGACTGTATATGATTTCAAATTGTATATAAATTTAAATATCTATGTAACAAATTAGTTTTGTATAGTTTTGTTTTTATCACATATTCACATATTTTATTGCATATTCAATATATAATACACACACATATATTATTATTAAAGCAAACTTTCATTTTCAGTGCGATTAATCTTTGCCCAGCACTTAGAAAAAGTTTCAATTTGAGAGTCTGAGAGTCATTTAAGCTTCCCTTCCTCCTCCTCAGGTGGTTCACAGGGATTTAAAGCCCAGTAACATCCTTTATGTTGATGAATCTGGGAATCCCGAGTCCATCCGTATCTGTGACTTCGGCTTTGCAAAGCAGCTAAGAGCAGAAAATGGACTTCTGATGACGCCCTGTTATACTGCCAACTTTGTGGCCCCAGAGGTACATTTAGCGATGAGACGTGGCATTATGTTTTTTTTTAAAACAAACAACAGTTTTTTAATCAGGAAAAAAATCTATTTGTTCCCTCAGGTGCTGAAGAAACAGGGCTATGATGCGGCCTGTGATATCTGGAGTCTAGGTGTCCTTCTCTACACAATGTTAACTGGGTAAGTAATTCAAACTTCTCTCTGAAGAGGGAATTTCCCAAATTCCAGTTGTTGTTTAAATGATCAATCTAATAATAATTTTATCATTAACCTTAATAATGCAAGATTTGTCAACTTCAGTGGTACATACATCGCTACTGCCATGGCAGAATGTATGAACGACCCTCAAAACGCAAGCGTCCACACACAACCGGAAATGTATTTACTGGAAATAAAAGTAGGATTGTGAAAATAATCATTTAATAGAGCTATTTAATAAATAAATGTATTTAATAATATACAACCCCAAATCAGAAAAGTTGGGGACAGTTGGGACAGTATGGAAAACATAAATAAAAAGAGCAGTGATTTCAACATTTACTTTGACATGTATTTCATTGCAGAGGATACAACAAACATTATTTATTGTGTTCCTCATGATTTTTAAATTGTTTTTTTTTTCAAAATAAACATGTATATCAATTTGGTTCTTGAATCACATTTTTAAAAAGTTGAAACAGTAAAACATTTACCACTTTGTAATGTTGCCATTCCTTTTCACAACACTTAAAAGAAGTTTGGGACTGAAGTGATGAATTGTTTCAGGTGCGGTTTTGTCCTATTCTTTCTGCAAACAAGCCTTAAGGTGGGCGACAGTACTGGAGCTTCGTTGTTGAATTTTGCGGTTCAAAATGTGCCACACGTTCTCTATTAAAGACAGTTCGGGACTGCAGACAGGCCAGTCAGCAATGTCCCATATGTATTGGTATCCCTGGAAAAAAAGGCAGCATATTGTTCTCCAAAATCTTTATATGCTTTTCAGCATTTACCCACAATGAAAAGGGATGTGGGCTTGAATTGATCCATTGTTTTCAAGATTTGAAAAGGGGTTCGATTTTGGATAAAGGGCTTAAAAAAAAACCTTTCATAATAATTTAGATTTCTAAATAGTGATGATTAACAAACAATAACAAGTAATAATAGTTATAGTATTATGGTAAATAAAGTAGTATTAGCATAAAATGAAATCCTGCATCATGATCTCTCTGACTTTTGTCTGCAACCTATTAAATAAAAATAAATGTAATTTTTAGATGAAAGATGACATATTTAAGATGCAAGTAAATGACATTTAAGAAAGCAAATGACAGGAATTTAATGTTGGACAAACAAAGGCAAACATCCCATCAAAATGGAGCCAGAGTAGTATACTAGAGTAATAATATACTACACTATAGAATAAAACAACAATTAGCATGTGATGTAATGTGATGAGGTAGTACTAGTAGTGGTGAGGAAAGACCGCCACATATAATTGCCAAGTGATTATTGAACATATATGTATGTGTAATTCACCACACTTAATGGAAAAGTTTGAACATGACAGTGCTTATAATGTGCTTCAATTTGACTTGGGAAACAGTGTAAGGACTGGGACACACCAAGCCAATGACTAACAACTAGCACCAACGAAACCAATGTGCTGTTGCTCTGTGTCGGCTCTCGTCCGGACCAAAAAGCTATGCATGAACACACCAACTGGACAGATGAAACCTAACAGCTGACCGTTGGCTTGGTGTGTCCCAGCCCTAAGAACCCTGGATTGGGAGTTAATATAATATAGTGTTCCGACATGGTCCTCTGTTGGTCATATGTAACACAACTAAATAGCTGTTCTGTTTCTCCAAGCACAGAGTGTATCAATTTAATTGATAATCATCAGTTATTTGATTGCTGGTGAATTGTCTATTCTTTATGTGTCTGTATTCAACTAACACCACGCTTTTCCCTACAGATTTACTCCATTTGCTAATGGCCCCGAGGATACGCCGGAGGAGATTCTGGCTAGAATCGGCAGCGGACAGTTTTCCCTCACAGGAGGATTTTGGAACTCTGTTTCTTGTCAGGCAAAGGTGTGAATCTGAGCATCTCAATTAAAGACATAGTTCATCCAAAAATTACAACAAACCACTTACCATTTACCACTTACCATAAACCAGTAACCATTGACAGTAATAGGAAATAAAAAATACTATGGAAGTCATTTGCTATGAAAGTCAGTTTTGGAATAAGGGGAGGCTTGGTAAATTTTGAGAGAATTGTAGATTATTGAGTGAACTGTCCCTCAATTCTCATTAAAGCTCCACCAAATGAAAATAGTTCTTAGAAGAATCATGGTTATTGTTGTTTCCCACAGGATCTGGTATCAAAGATGTTGCATGTAGACCCTCATCAGAGACTCACTGCTGCACAGGTTTTAAAGCATCCCTGGATCACTCACAAAGACAAGCTCCCCAATTACCAGCTTAATAGACAGGACGCCCCACATCTGGTTAAGGTTTGTCCTTCTTTAGACATGACACTATATAATAACATCTAAATGTCTTGAAATATTCACAGAATTATTGTTATATGGCCTTGAAATGCTGTTTGACTTGACTGGTTTAGAATTATTTAACATTCATTTTAAGAGCATTTATCGCTGAATATAAAGTTGTTTAAACTGAAAAATGAAACAAGACTAACATGTTTTGGTTAGGTATACAATATAAAAATGCAAGTCAATATATTATGCTTAACTCTAAAAAAAAATTATAATAAAAAAATCTGTCAGCCCAGTTAAATTATTTTTAATATTTGTTATATCAAAGCTTAATAATACATATATGTTTTTTTTTAAAAACATATATTTGACACATATATGTCAAATACATTTTGACACATTTGAGTTTATTCTCTCCTACATTTTTTTTTATATGTTTTTTTTATATAGTCTTATTTGTATTTCTTTTTTTCTTATTTTCAATAGGTTTGAATGGTGCTTTCATGAATTTCCAACCTAAAATATTAAGTAGCAAATCTCAATAGTATATGATAAAAAAAATTGCAAAACATATTTAACACTATTAATATAAAATTATTCTTAAACACCAAATCCACATACAGGGTTCCCACGCTTCTTGAAAGTACTTGAATTTCAGACATGGATTCAAGGCCTGGCAAGTACTTAAATCCAAAAACAAACATAGATCCTTGAAAGTGCTTGAATTCAATTTGAAATTAAACTTGTTTATGGTGTTATTTCAACAATTGCCAAAAACAGATTAAAAAACTGGAAATTCTTCATTTAAAAATCTTGAATTAAAATCTTGTACAACAACTATGACAAATAATTCATATTATATACAGTGCTCAGCATATATAAGTACACCCCTCACAAATCTGTCTTTTAATTGTAATTTTTTTTAAAGGAAGCTATATAATATTATATTCGTGCATATACATTAGACTAGTCAGTACTGAAGGCAAATCTGAAGCTTATCTAACAAAATAACTTACAATAAAAGTCCAAAAACTAGTACATCCAAATGTATGTGTTATAGAAAAATATTAAATACAAATTCAAAAAAGAGGAAAAATCAAGAGAAGCAAAAAATTTAAAGATTTTGTAGTTTTTTTTTTTTTTTTGCAATATTTTGCTTAAATTAATTAATCTTTTCATTTCTAAATATGTTTGGTGACTAAAATATTATTTGAATAAATATATCTGTTTAATAAATCTGTTTTGTTTATATGCACCAAAATGCATTGCCTGCTCACTGAGAAATGGATACAAATATTCATTTTCAAAATGGGCTGCTCTCAATTATGCTGATCCCTTTAATTATTTTAGGAACTGCATTTCAATATCACCAGTTTTGAATTCAACAACTTTAAGTAAAGTTCTTTGAACATTATTGTTTGAAATGGTCTAAATTTGTAAAAATTACACATTCAAAATATCATCATTCTGATATTTTTAATGTAAATAAGTGTAAGTGAAATGCTAAGTACAGTAGGGACTTTCATGGCACTACATATGCTGGGGCTGTGAATTACAAAGGTGCTTGATTTGGAATTAAAGGTGCTTTAAAATGTCCTTGAATCTGCTGTTCATCGAAATTTTGAGACCTGTGAATTTCTTTTCTTTTTAAATGTTTCACTAATGATGTTTATCAGAGTAAGGAATTTTTCACAGTAATATTTTTTTTTTCTTAAGAAAGTCTTATTTGTTTTATTTCTGCTAGAATTAAAGCAGATTTAAAATAATTATGGTCAATATGCAATATATATATATATATTGTACATATATATATGTTTTGATTGTTTACAAAACAAACAATCATTATACAGACTTAAATAATTACCCTAACTTGCCAGTTTAAAACTGAGTAAAATTAACTTTCAGTCAATTTTGAGTTACTGATTTTGAACTACACTTATTTCATTTAATAAAGTTGACTGTTGGGTTTTACAGTGTAGTATCTTGAAAAAATATATAGTAAAATAATATGTACTGTCATCATAACAAAGATTTTTTTAAAAATCATTTATTAGATATTAGTTATTAATTATGTTTACAAATGTGTTGTAAAAATCTTATTTCCGTTAAGCAGAAATTGTACAAAATTATACGGGGGGTTAATAATTTCAACTGTATATCAATTTAATTTATTTCTAATTGCCAAATTAATTAGCATTCATCATATAAATCACTGTAAAACTACAAAATCAATGTTTAGAGCCTTTCATTTCATCCAAGTTTGTGTGTAAATTGTCTCTCCTGTAGGGGGCGATGGCTGCCACATTCTCTGCTTTGAACAGAAACATTCCTCCTGTACTGGAGCCTGTCGGCTGTTCAATACTCGCTCAGCGCAGAGGAGTGAAAAAACTGACTTCCACTGCCTTATGAGCAGGAAAACCCTTCCACCTCCAACCCCGTGACCTCCAGCTCGGTCTGAGCACAGCCTGAATTGGGCTTGCTTGCTGCCTACAGTACCTTGCGTCCAGGCCTTAGAGCCGAGTGTAGATTCTGAGGACCCCTGGTGGACAACCCAAATCTTCCTTCACTGGTCACTGCGACTTCAAGCCTCCAAACGCAGTTCAATGAAGCCTTTTTTCCAAGGAGCAAATCATCCGATCGTATCAAGAGAAACAAACCAGATCTCAGTCTTTATTAAAAGCTACCACATTATTTTAGAAGATGATGACCAACTCTTGCGCCAAATCGTGCATCAAGCTGCAAAAAGCTCCAGTTCTATGGGGACATGTGTGTTCGTGTTTAATATTCAGATTCTGTTCCATTGTTCTCAATTATTTTACATCAAGATTGTATTTAACGAGAGAATATTTTGACATATTCACTCACTCTAAAGTTGTTCCAAATCTGTAGGAGTTTCCATTTGCTTCATCTTTTGTTGAGGATAAAACAAAGTGTTTAGAAGAATGTGGGTGTCCAGGCATTTAATGGTCCCCTTTAATGTCCATAGTATGGATAAAACATATGATTGTGACATACTGGTTTGGAGCTACTTTAGAGTGAATAAAGGATTATTATAGAACAGATTCCACAACGAAAGACGCTCCAAACCATTATAGATGTGGTGTGTTAAATAAAAGGCTGCATGCATCCACCACAGAATTTTGAAAATCAGAAAGAAAGAAAAGACTTGATGCAATTTTTAGTCTCACTGTTACGAGTTGTTCAAACAGAACTCCGAATTGAGTCAGAATTAAAAACAGTTTACAGATTTATTTCTCTAAAATTGCGTGAGAAAGTCTTGTGAGAAAGTCAAATTTTGTATAAAAAAGTCAATTGTGAGTGTTGAAAAATGTTTTTATATATTTTTATTTATTTGTTTCTGCCAATTGCGGGTTTATTTCTTGCAATTCTGACTTTGTTCTTCTCAGATCTGACTTTTTTTTTTTTTTAGAGTTGTAAGATAAAAGCTCAAAATCGAGACGCAAAATCACAACTCAAAGTCAGAATTGCAAGATATAAGTCTGAAAGAATTCTGAGTTTATAGTTCAGTTGTTGTTTTTTTCTGCATATTTCTATTTTAATTCTTGCATTTGCAACTTTTTTGTTTTCCTACAGTTCTTTATTTCTCTCAATTCTGACATTTTCCTAAGATTTGCAAAAAAATAAACTTAAAAGATACAAAATCGCAATTTATAGTCAAAATTGCAAGATAAAAATCAGCGAAAAAGCTAAATCACAATTCTAAGTTTAAATATCGCAATTCTTTTTTTTAACAAACAGCCATTTGTTTCTTGCAATTCTGATTTTTCTTGATGAGGAAGATAAACTCAAAATCGAGTTTTAAAATCGCACTTCATAAAGTCAAAATGGTAAGATATAAACTTGATTGCAAAAATCAAGTTTAAAATTAACATTTTTTATTTTTTCTGCAAATTGTGATTTTATTTCTTGCATTTGCAACTTCAATTTTCTTGCAATTCTCACTTTATTCCTTTCAATTCGGACATTTTTTTTTTCAGATTTGCAAGATAGAAACTCAAAACTGTAAGATACTAAATCACACTTCATAAAGTCAGAATGGCAAGATAAAAACCAGTAAAAAGCAAAATCAGAATTATGAGTTTATATCTTGCAATTATTTATTTTTTTCAACAAACTGCAATTTATTTCTTGCAATTCTGACTTTATTCTTCTAGATTGTTTCTTTTCTTCAGAATTGGAAGATAGAAACTCAAAACCGAGATACAAAATCACACTTCATAAAGTCAGAATTGTAAGATATAAACTTGATTGCAAAAGCAAAGTCAGAATTCTGAGTTTATGGCTCAATTTTTCTGCAAATAGAGATTCTTTTTATTATTATTATTATTTTTAATTTATTTTTCCAGCATTTGCAACTTCTTTCGTTTTCTTGCAGTTTTTCTTTTATTTCTCTTAATTCTTACATACCAAGATAAAAACTCGCAATTTATAAAGTCAGAAGTTTATATCTTGATAATCCTTTTTTTTTTTTTTTTTTTTCAACAAACTGCAATTTGTTTTTTGCAATCCTGAATTTAATCTTCTTAATTCTGACTTTTTCAGATTTGGAAAATAGAAACTCTAAATCGAGATACAAAATTGTATGGAGGACGAAACCTGCAAAAACAAATAAATGCGTATATATATAAATCAGTAAATAAATCCATAAATTCCTGCATAAATAAAACAATAAATGAATAAATATGCAAATAAATAAGTGTATAAATAATTTCAAGTGCTGGCAGGTAAATAAATATATAAATGACTGGAATGTTGGGGCAATAAGAAAATTCTAAACTGAAAGTTTATTTTCCCCTCTTTCAAATGTTTATTCATTCTTGAAGGTAGTTTCACTTCTCCTCAGGTCAACATGCTAATGAAAGGGTGATCAATCATCAGGGAAAGTAAAAAAAAAATCAAATGCAAATTTTTTCTAATGATCAATCAATGATGGCATAAAGACCACCTTCTGATGAATAACAGACAACCTTTTATTAGCATGTTGACCTGAGGGAAAAGTGAATACGCAACTACATTCAAGAATGAATGAACAAAAACAATTTGAAAGCGGGGAAAATAAACTTTCAGTTAATTATTTAATTGTTTGCCTGCCTGCACTATTATTTACACACTTGTTTATGAAGGAATCTGTGGTTTTTATATACATTTATTTACATATTTATTTATTGTTTTATTTATGCAGAAATTTATGGATTTATTTACTCACTCATTTTTTTATTTGGGTATTTATTTATTTATTGTTCTTGCAAGTTTCAACCTCCAGAAAATTGCACTTTATAAAGTCAGAATCGCGAGATAAAAATCAGAGAAAAGCAAAATTAGAATTATGAGTTTATATCTCGCTTTCTTTCAACACACTTCAATCTATTTCTTGCGATTTGAATTCTTTCATCTAGGATATAAACTTAAAACTGTGAGACCAAAGTTTGCACTTCTTCGAAAACTGCACAACTGATATTAACGAGCTGATAACAAAAAACAAACAACAATTGAAGAAAAACCCTGAAGGCTGATTGACGGATGACTGTAAGACGAGTCTGAATGTCTGCTGTCGTTCATTTCTCACTCTTTTTACAGAACCACAATGTGAACCAAATCCAAAGCACAAAAATGCAGTGGAGGCCTACAGTAAATCAAACCCCTCAGAATGTCCAATAGAGAACTCAGGTGAAACGCAATACATTATACAAAAAAACATAAGCTGGGACGGAAATATGTATACGGCTGTATCACCTGCTGACCTGTGTATTTGTTTGTATGTAGGGAAGTACAGGAGGAATGCTCAGAGATAAAATATGTAGTGACTTTTTTAAAGCGACTACATTCAGCCTTGACATATTTTTATAAATGTGCATGGGCAAGATGCTATATTAGCTAGTAGCTCTGTGGACGTTCATGTTTATGAGCATGACGAAGGATGTTTTTTCCATTCTTTCTGTTTTTTTAATTAACCACTTCTAATTCCTTGCAGGTTGTTGGGTTGAGTAAGTTTAAATATGTTGTACATTTTCTTTTCATCTCGGTTGTATTTTTCCTGACTTGGAAGAGTGCTGGAAATGTTGCTGTCCATATAAGCAAGCTGCTATCCTGTTCTTTCTTTTGTACATGTAGAAAATAAAGTTTGCCATTTTTACGAAAACTATTGGGCATGATTGTTTTCATCTTTAGAACTAGAGAGTAACCACAGGGCTATATATTATAAACAGAGCTGAGCATGGTCTGTTCCTGGATGGGAGACCACCTGGGAAAACTAGGTTGCTGTTGGAAGTGGTGTTAGTGATGCCAGCAGGGGGTGCCTAACCTGTGTTCTGAGTTCTAATGCCCTATTATAGTGAAGGAGACACTGTACTGTCAGTGGGCGCCGTCTTTCGGATGGGACGTTAAGCCGAGGTCCTGGCTCACTGTGGTCATTAAAAATCTCTTGGCACTTCTCATTATAGAGTAGGGGTGTAACTCCGGTGTCCTGGACAAATTTCCTCCATCGCCCCTTACCCATCATGGCCTCTTAATCATCTCCATCCACCGAATTGGCTCTTTCACTGTCTCTCCACTCCACTAATAGCTGGTGTGTGGTAAGCGCATTGGCACCATTGTCCTGTGGCTGCCATCATATCATCAAGGTGGATGCTTCACACTACGGTGCTTTTCCGGACAAATTACGGAAGGTCCTTTATAAATTTAGCTTTTTTTTTTTATTTACTTTAAAGTCGTTCTGGAAATTTTTATGATATTTACTGGTATAACCAACACAATCTCATGGCAATTCGGAACTTTTTGATTCAGTGGCTAATTCGTATGAATTCGTAAGATCTAATTCGTACAATTTAGTACGATTTGCTCAACACCCAATGATGGTTGGGGTTAGGGGTGTTGTTGGGTGCCACGCCTCTTTTTTAAAATTATACATTTTCGTACGACTGAATTCAGCCACTAAACTAACAAAACGTAAAATACTTACGTTTCTCGTGAGATCAGGCAGGTATAACTGCGTGAAACAGGTTAATGTTTATTTTTCCAAAACAAATCTCACCATTTTAATTTTTCTGAGCATTACAAACAATTTGTAACTGCTGCAATTCGTCACTTTGGAATTATAAGGTTCTATCTGCGTTCTGAATTATTCTGAGATATTGCGCTTCAAAGTTTTTGCATTTCATATAGCAAACAGTATGTGTGTAACATTAGTTTTTTAACTAAAAAGTCTTAAAATAAAAACAACTTATAAAGAAACATCCCATAATGTAAATACGTTGTCATTTAATAAGAATATGTCAATAACTTAATTTTGACAAAAATGTCAGAGAACCTTATAATTATGTGACAAATTATTTTGACATTCAAAATTTCCCACAGGATTTCTGGGTTTTGCGTTAGGGGTTTGTTGTAATCCATATACTCTATCCTGACAAAAGTCTTGTTGTCGATCCCAGTTGTAAGAGTAACAAATAATAACTTGACTTCTAGTTGTCATTTGGAAAAGTGGCAGAAGGTAGATTTTTCCGATGAATCATCTGTTGAACTTAATTTTAAAACTCAAACTGAAACTGAAAAACTTGCCACCACACTGACATTCAATCTGAGAAACTTTATACATATTAGAGATTTTCTGACCTATGATGTCTCTGGTATGTATTTAAATACTATGATTGTTCCACATTTGTTGTACTATAACGAGCTGGTCTCAGGCATGTAAATCTTCTATAACACCGTTAGAATTATTATACATGAGAGCACTTAAAATTCATGATAAAAGCCTTGGTTCTACCATTACTTTAATATCTTTTTAAAAAGTTTCTTAAGCTTTAATAATATTATTATTAAATATTCCAATATTTGTTTTGTTTTTAAAATTATTCACAATCTTTCTGCTCCATCGTTAAAAAACATTTAATTCCACATTATCGCGAGTGACACGTTCTCTGGAAAGAGGGGAATGTATTGTCCCTAGACGTTAAACCTTTTGGTCAATCTTCTTTTAATTATAAAGCCACAAATCTATGGAATTCTCTTCCAACACAAATAATCACATGAACAAATTATAAGATGTTTTCACACCTGACTAGGAGGTGGTTTTTGTCAAATCAATTTTGTACACACTGAGTGAGATGTTTTTGATTTGTCAGTGTTTTATTTTATTTGCGATTATGTCTGTATGTTTAAAGCTGACATTTTAAATTATTGCTTATTTATTTATTTCACCTGTTTAGTGACAGCAGGTGGAAAATAGAAATCCTGCTACAACCTGGCAAAATGCATCTTTCCTTTTTAAGGTTAATGTAATTTTGGTGCATGTCCCTGTTAAATAAATCAATTCATTCATTCAAAACTGCATCCCAATCATCACAAATACTGCAGAAGACCTATCAGAGCCCGCATTGATCCAAGATTCTCACAGAAATCAGTCAAGTTTGTTCCATGAAAAATCATGGTTTGGGGTTACATTCTGTGGTGTGCGAGAGATCTGCAGAATGGATGGCAAAACATCAACAGTCTGAGGTATCAAGACATTTGTGCTGCCCATCACAAACCACAGGAGAGGGCAAATTCTTCAGCAGGATAGCGCTCCTTATCATACTTCAGCCTCCACATTATAGTTCCTGAAAGCAAAGAAGATCAAGGTGCTCCAAGATTGGCCAGCCCAGTCACCATACTTGAACACTGTTGAGCATGTCTGGGGTAAGATGAAGGAGGAGGCATTGAAGATGCATCTAAATAATCTTGATGAATTCTGGGAGTCCTGCAAGCAAGCTTTCTTTGCCCTCCCAGATGACTTTAATAAGTGATTTGAATCATTGCAGAGCTGTATGGATGCAGTCGTCCAAGCTCATGGGAGTCATACACAATATTAAGTCTTTTTCTACTGCATCATGACTTTATATTCTGTACTGTTGATTATTTTTGTTAAGTGACAAGACTTTTGTCTTAGCAAAGTCAGACCTTACTGTCCTAATTAAATAATTAAAAATCAAGGCATGATCATGTTTTATTTTGGTAAAATAAGCGTAACCCAGAGGCCTTTGCCTTTCATATAAGCCATTCTGATACCAAATGATCAAATAGAAATCAAGTAATTATTTGTTGTTCCTAAAACTTGGATAGGCAACAAGACGTGTGTGTGTGTGTGTGTGTGTGTGTGTGTGTGTGTGTGTGTGTGTGTGTGTGTGTGTGTGTGTGTAAAATTTACTTACAGTAAAGTTATTTACTCTTTTCAAAAAATGTAAATAATAATAATAAATAAATAAAATAAAAAAACAATTTAAAGCAACTACATGAACTTTTGTTTGAACATTTCATGAGAAAATTTTTTTCTCAGGATTTTAATTAGGAAAACAAATCGTTGAAAGACAAATCTTTTTCAAGATCATAAATGTCTTTATTGTCATGATGAAGTTTATGCAACCTCGCTGTAGTGTGAATATAAATGCATCCTAAAGTAACAAAAATACATGATATTTTAATTGTACATTTAAGAAATGATTTGCACATGGAATAAGCTAAGCCTTAATGGAAGTGGAACATTACTACCATGATACATATATTGTTAATATACAGTGATTTGCCTACAATATTCAGTTTACTTAGTAAAACTAACAGTCAACAATTCAAGGGAAAGTTCACCCAAAATGTCACATTTACTCTTCATTAAACTCCCCACAAACCTCCATTTTAGGATTAAAAATATGATGGAAGTAAACATCAGCTACCAGTTTCTTCCCAACATTCTTCAACATATCATCTTTTCTGTGTAACAGCAGAAACAAGGACAGTAACAGATACCACAATTTCATTTTTCTATCCCTTTAAAAATAAACATTTAATAAACCCCCCAAACTAAATATTGTCATGATTTGCTGTTATTATTAGTTTCCTTCTGCTGAACACAAAAGAAGATATTTTGAAAAAAAAAAGCTGCAATCATTGACCTCCCTAGTATTTGTTTTTCCTACAATGGAAGTCAGTGGTTACAGAATTTTTTTATCTTCCTTCAAAATATCTTCGTTTTCAACAGAAGAAAAAAACTTGTAAAGGTCAGAAACAGTTTGAGGGAGAGTAAATAGGGAATACATTTGCATTTTGGGTGATCAAGACCTCTAAAAATAAACTTGTATTACTCCAAAATGAAAATTCTGTCATTACCCGCTTACAAGTTTCCTTCTTCTGTCGAAAACAAAAAGATATTTTAAAGAAACCTTTTGAAGAAAATGCAAATGTGTTCACTATTGACTCTCCCTCGTAAAGATTTTGGAACAAGGGACAGTCAATAGTGAATACATTTGCATTTCAGAGTGATCTATGTCTTTAAAAATAAACTTGTATTACCCCAAACAGAAAATTCTGTCATTATTCGCTTACAAGTTTTTTTTTCTTCTGTTGAAAACAAAAAAAGATATATTGAAGAAAAAGCTGTAAACATTAACTTCAATAGTATTTGTTTTTCCTATTATGGAAGTCAATGTTTACAGGCTTTCAGCTTTCTTCAAATATCTTCTTTTCTGTTGAACAGAAGAAAGAACTTCGTAAAGATTTTGGAACCACTTGAGGGAAAGTAAATAATGAAAGGATTTTAAGTGTACTATCGCTTTAAAAGTAAACTTGTATTACCCCAAACTGACAATAATATCAATACTCGCTTTCAAGTTCCCTCATAAGTTATTTTAAAGAAAAAGCTGTAACCATTGGCTTCCATAGTATTTGTTTTTCCTGATATAAATAATGATTACAGGTTTTCAGCCTTCTTCTAAATATCTTATTTTGTGTTCAACAGAAGAAAAAACTCACAAAGATTTTAGAACCACTTGAGGAAGAGTAAATAATGAATACATTTTGCGTTTTTGGGTGATCCAGCCCTTTAATTTAACTATTTTTTTCTTTAATGAAGGGCCAAATCCTACCAAAACACACACAGATAAAAAAAAAACAGAAATCACCTCACACTGTAAAGTCAAATATCTGTAAATTAGCAGTTTGCCATAATTTGTGTTTCATGTTATTTCCCCATTTAATTATATATTTATTTATGCTTTTGAATTGCATTCCTTCTTCAACTTTTAACCTTGAAAAGTTCAGAAATGTGACTTTTATTAACAATTTTAATAGTTTAAAATGATATATTTTTAGTGTTGTATAGTATATTACAATATAATAACCTTGTAATAAACTGCCAGTACATATTCTGTTACTTCACAGACTTAATTCTCTCAATATTATTTCTTATACATCTTAAACTACTAAAATGTCAACAAAAGTCACTTTGTTAAACTGTACAGTTGAATTTTCAACATCAAAAGTCGACAGAACAGAGATTAACATCCCATAATGCAATTCACAACCGTAAATAAACAGAAAACACTTGTGAATCCCAAAAAACAGAAACTGTTAAGTGACAGGTATTGTTTACAGTGCAGCTCACTCGCTCTTCTCCTGCTCCTCGTGATCATCCTGCTGAAGCTCTTCCTTTTCCAGGGCCTCTTTTTCGGTCTCCACCTCCTCCACCACAGATGAATCCAGTGAATCGTCCATGTCCTCTTCGCTGAGCGGCTCCATCATCTCCTCCACCGACTCTCCCGGGCCGCTCTCTTGGACCTTCTGCTGGTGGGTGAGCATGTGTTTAGAGTATCCCCTCTGCGACAGGTAGATCTGGCAGATGTCGCAGTAAAACGGAGTCATGACGTTGTGTTTGTCCATGTGGTTAATGAAGCCGCTGACCCTCAGGAAGCTCCTATCGCAGGTCTTACAGCACAGACGCTCTCCTGCATGAGCCGATTTGAGGTGCTGAACGAGAGATCCTTTGTACTGGAAGCTTTTTTCGCAGACGGGACACACGCACGTCAGTTTGGACGAGTGATGCTTCATGTGGGCAGCAAACGCCACTTTGTAGCCGAATCTTCGGGGACATAAATGGCAAGCGAACGGCATGCTTGATTCAGCGTTTTCGTGGACTTTCCTGTGAGCTTTTAGAAAGGCCTGATGCGCGAAGCCTTTTCCACACTGCCGACAGAGGAACTTATCTTCTGGATTCATCGGGGCTTCTGAATGAAGCCCTGACTTCTCTTTCTGCTCAGATTTGGGTTTCTTCTTAGCGTGATGAGCCCGCCAGTGTTTCATCAGCGTGCGTCTGCTGCGAAACCTCTGGCTGCATTTAGGACAGTTGATTAAGTTTGCGCTGGCGCGATGTTTTTTAGGCTCTACGACTAAGCTGTCGTTGGTCACAGCCTGCTCCAGCTCTTCATCCTTCATGTCCTCGTCCTGAGAGGAGTTGTGCTCTTGGCCTGGTGTGGCATTGGTGCTCAGCTCATATTCGACGGGCTCGTCTTTGACGCACGCCAGAGAAATGGTGTCAGAAATGGTGATGCTGCATGTGTCGTTTTCAATGCTTTCAGTTTCAGCTTCCTGTTCGATAAAACATTAGAGAGCATTACGTACAGCATGCACACAATGTTGACATTAATAAAGTCTTATAAAATGTGAAGTTTATATTCATTTTTTAATGTAACATTTACTTTGATTTAACCACAAATGTAACTGAACATTAAATATAACCTAATAGTTTATATATTAGGGTTGGATGAAGTCGACCAATTGGGCATCGTACAATGTCTAATGTGAAACATCGTGATGGACAATAGCATCGTCGTCAGGCGGAGGTGAATTAATTATTTATGAATAACTAAATTAAACTAATTCATAACAAATTAATTATTTGTGTCCTACCGTTTCAACTACCTGACCCGCATGGTCTTTGTTTTACCCATAACCAAATCATATATAAATAAAGATAAGTTACGCACAAATTACCACCTGTCAATCACCTTTTCCATGGGACTCTGGTATGAATAAGCAGAGTGATTGGTGTAGTTATAATGGCGTCGACAAACCAAAAAAGGAGCACAACCAACAGTATCTAAAGTTTTCACTAAAATTACTAAGTACAAGCATGAAAATGAAAGATTTAAGCAGCGTACTGATGTCGTGACACGTTACCTGATAGATTCACAAGTCCGAAGAGTTGTTAGAAAGAGACAATGTTAATTAAATATCACGTTTAACAACTATAGTAAAACGAGAGTATTGATACATCCTTAATAAACTGTCCAATGTGCACTGCTCTTGTAAGGTTTTGTGCTCAAAGCACCCGCTGACTGCTGGAGCTCAGACAGCGCATGCCAGAGTGTGTGTTGTCACGTGATGTGTGTTCTCAGAGGTATAGTGTGGAAGGAGGGCTTTTCAGAAATGTTAGATGAAAATGCCAGTGTGGACGTGGATCGCTTTCGTTCTAAAATGCCATTTTAAACGTTATAGACGTATTGGTGTAAACGGGGCCTGAGTGTGTATTTTTCGTGAGCAGGTTGGTGCTGCGACGGGCCATCGTCTATCGACCCAACCCTATTACATATAAAGATTTATAAATTATATATAATAGAATAATTAACCATTAAAGTCATAAAGTTTTTCTTTCTTTCTTCAACCACATGGTGCTAATCTGCTTTTGTTTTTGAATGGAAAAAAATGTCAGCCTCGATTTTACCTGGAAATACTGCAAAAATTTAAAAATAACTAAAAATAACATAAATTTTCATTGTGGGGGAAAAAATTGTTAATTACTGCATTAATATTAATTATTACCACAAAACCCTCTCAAAATTCAAAACAACATAGAAAAAAATTATAAACAAAAATAAATTTTATTGATTTTACTAAAAACAACTATATTTTACAGGCCTTCGTCCCTTTTTGACCAGCTAATACCACAAGAGTGATTCCCAAATACGGACGACTCAGTGGTGCTGTATGTAAGTTTGACTCTTCTAAAGTATAAAACTACCCTAATATGTTTGCAGAGATTTAAGAAACATGCCAGGAGAACATTCTTGTTTATCTGAAAAACAATGCTGAAGTCAGATATTCTGCTTTGAAAATGTGCGTTACGTGTCAGAACGACTGTCTTTGCTTTGGTTCTTTTAACCCGTCCACTGCCACTTTAGCCAATTATATTACATCGCCCCGGGTTGCCTTTGAAGAAAACAGCACATTTCATTTGTTCATTTAGAAAGGCTCTCGAAATGCGAGCTCCGGGGGACAGAGGTTATTTATGTTCCACATTTGAGATTATGAGATCAATAATTAGCAAATCATATAAATATTATGAATGTAAACATTAGGATGAGCAGGCTACATTGTAACCCCATGTCATATAACAACTCTACATGACAAGATTTGCAGTGATAAGCAATTTGGCTGTTTGTACCAGACCCAGCAAGATGAGGTGTACCTGAGGTGATCATTGTCAGTTTTCTGTTGTTCAGCTGTGAGAAATAGAAGCCGTTTCTAATATATTAATTTGAGGGGCTGGTTACAACAAAAACTTCTTTTAATACGGAAAACATTTCTTCTATCGCGTGCTGTTGCCTTGCCTCATTCAGACTAGCAGCGACTTTATAGCTGACTGTCGCTCTGAGTGGCTACCTGCTGCAAATGCAGGTCTGTGTAGGTCTACAGCAATAAGAATACAACCAGCCTCTGAGCAAGCTGAGACAGGATCACGTGAGCTCTACTGGTGCTCCAATTGGCTGTCTCTCAAGAAATTTGCTTTTCATTTGCATAAAGTTGTAGAATTCTTAACTTTGTTGCGTCACTCGACCCACCCACCTGGAAGCCATTGGTGGTAAAGTCTAGATCTGATATGCGGCCGACCGGAAGTGCGATATGCAAATTAATATAGCAGCATTTTAATGACACTCTAGAACAGTAATTAATATTTTTACAGTAATGTGATGGTTAAGTTTAGGGTTGGGGTTAAAAAATACAATTTATTGTTTAATTTAATAGACAACAAAAATAATACTCGGTACAACTACTGCTTTTACATTACTGTGATGGTTGGGTTTAGGGTTGGGGTGGGGGTAGACGTTAATAAAATACAATAAATGGGAAATTTCATAAATAATGTAAATAAATATCGTTAATTTCCGGCCGCATCCATATCTGATCTAGCAACAACTGCGGTCGCTCACGTAGAAGGTGGTCACCGGAAGTCGCTCACTCTCAGTTGAAATGCAGGGTCGCTTGTCACTTTGCCGCTACGAGTCGCTCTTAGTGTGAATGAGACTTTATATAACACGATTTTAATGAGCCTCAAATCAGCCTTTATGCTCTATAGTCAGTCTCGCTCCTGGCCCTCAATCTGGCAACCTGCCCCTGCATTTGTTTTGATCCGCCACTGCAACACCTAGGTCTACCACTGGGTGTCAAACTAACATTCTGCACCTTTAAATATACTGATGTTTAATTATATAAACTGTAATTGCATTAACTTCTTAGAAGTTAAACTTGAATTCAATTATATGATGTAAAAATTATTTTTAAAGTACATTAGATGTCATTTTGTTTAAATGTTTCTAATGTCCGTGTTAATGCTTTTGTATAATACGTGTTGCTTATTATTTAGAAACAAATTAGTTTTTTTACAATTAAGCATCCATGTTTAGATATTTAATACAATAAATTCTATTTTTTTATTCTTTTTTTTCATTATTACTAAAAAAATAAACTGCATGTTTTTATTGTCATGTAATTTTTTTAAATAATTAATGATGAAAGGGTGAAAAAAGTCATCTTACCGGTGTCTCTTTCTCGGCTGTCCGGGCTGCAGGATGAACAGTAGGAACCGCATCGACGCTCAGGATCCTGCATGTGCTAAAGCCCAGATTCAGAGTGAAGAAACTCTCCTCCGAGAAATGATCTCCACACACCCGCCATGAAGAGCCTGCGCTTCCCACAGCAACAGCAGCTTCACTGTCCTCGATAAACTTCATCCACAGGCTGCGTCTCCTCGGGTCCTCCGGCAGCATGTAGTGGATAATGGAGTCCGATCGGTTCGGGCAGCCGCCGATCACACACTTGTGTATCATTGTTGACCGTCTATTTCAACTCGAGCTCTAATCCGGAAAGTTTACACAATGTAAACAGTCATTTATGCTGATGATAATTGCATAAAAATAGCAAATAATAGAACTTTTTAAATATCAACCATGGGTAAAGGTGTTCAAAACAATCCGCAATGCTTTTTCGGCAGAAATCACCCACTTTTAATGGTGGAATTGCGGCTCCTACTGGACAGGAGGAAAATGTCTCCTTTTTTTCTTTCATGTAAGTCATTGGAGTAATGATGAGATTGTGTCAAAGCAGCTTCACATAGAAGTTCTAGTAAATGTAAACTGTGTCAGTCAGGTTTTCAGAGTTGAATTTCAGTTTAGTTCAGTTCAGAGTGGTTTAATTTTTACTGCTGAAAGTCCAAAGACTGAAGAGCAAATCAATCAGTGACAGTGGCGAGGAACACACTTAAAGTGAAGGAAAAAAACCTCTAGAGAGACCAGGCCTGATTATTTCTCCTCTGGCCAAACTTCGTGTGCAGAGCTGCAGTCTGGGCACTGGAGACTGGAGAGCGCTAGACGTCCATTGTGGAGAAGCTGGAGGTGTGGGTAGGTCACCTGCGGGTATGAAGACCTCTAGAAGCCCGCGTTGGTTGGGATCGTCTCTTTACAGGACTTGGATCACATCAGTGGCGCTGCACAATCTTTAGAGGCCTCAAGAAAAATTCTCTAACAGGGCTGGGCGATTTGGCCTAAAATCAAAATCTCAATGAATTTAACATTTTGACTTGATTACAATTAATGAATTATTTATTTTTTTTTCATTTTTTTTTTTTTGCCCTCATATCTCACTGAAAAGTTTTGTAAAGTAAATATGCTCACATATCTATTAGGTGAGAGATTTCTGAATGGAGGGTACATTACTTGATTTAAAAAAAAATTAAGGAAACACATATTAACTACTATCTCTGATTAATTATTGAATATCAACTGAAATTAAAACACACATTGCCTAAAACCAACGGTCACTTTTTCCTATAAAAGTGTAAAAATAAATAAATTTTGTAAACAAATTAAATTTTTTTCATTGCTTTTCGTATTAAAAATAGAAAATATGCATTATTTCTTTTAAATAAAACAACTCTTGTATATCCTGTTAATAATATTTAAGCATTTCTTGCATCTTCTGTAAACAAATATTTGAATGTATTTAATAAATTTAATGTAATGGAAAATAAGCAGTCTCAATGCATCTGGCGCAGCTTCCAATCATCGTCAATGTAGTGCAATGTAGGGCTTAAGAATGGGTCCATCATCCTATTTTAAGTATGAACATAAAGGCTTAACAGAGTGGCGTCACATGCGATAGGGAAAGTAATTGAAAAATCAACCTGGAAAATTTTGATTAATCATAGGTTATGAATGCCAATTTTTAATGCCTTTAACTTTTGAATTAATTGCCCAGCCTCTAAATAAATAATGGAGCAATAAATAAAATAGAAATTCATTAAAATAGTAAACAGCATCAGCCATAAAATGTAGAATTAGAAATAAGGACTTTGAATTTAATTTAAATGGTTTTTATGATATTTAATAATATGTATAATTCATATAGAAATATATTTTATTTCATGTGATGTGATATATTTCATATAAATTATATATCATATTTAATTTGTAATAGTGCATCAAGGTTTTTTATATTGATTACATATTCATTTTTATACATTAATTGCATTATTATATTATAAAACTATGTATACACACACAAAAAGATAGATAGACAAACAGACAGACAGACAGACAGACAGATAGATAGATAGATAGATAGATAGACAGACAGATAGATAGATAGATAGATAGATAGATAGATAGATAGATAGATAGATAGATAGATAGATAGATAGATAGATAGATAGATAGATAGATAGATAGATAGATAGATAGATAGATAGATAGATAGATAGATAGATTACTATTATGAATTATATGTTACAAATTATACAAATCAGTTACCTTTATTTTGTCAATCTTATTTTTTTCACAGTTTTAGATTTTTATGATGCGGTTAAAAATAACTAATATCATATTTCTCTGCTATAAATGTATTTCCTGGAGAATAATGTAACTTCTCTTGCACATAGCTAATTTCACGTTTTTCTTTTCTCTCTCTCCAGATCCTCATTAGTCTACACTAGACTACCATTGTAAGATAGCACAGCACTATCCCTGATTGTAACATTCATTGTTGCTGTCTATTTATTAATTTTGTTTTTTTCTATAATTCTTTTTCTTGTGTCTTTACTGTTTTTATTATCATTACTGTCAATGTGGGATTATATAAAAATGATTTCTGTATAAACAACACTTGTACTTGGCATACAAATAAAGAAATAAAATAAAATATATGATTAATATATAGTATTTTTGTATTTAGTTTCATCATATCTTTGATATTTGTTTATATTCTGTGTACTCTTCTATAAAAAATCCCCATGGTATTTGGCACCATTGTAAATAATCTAAGGATTATTATTGTAAATGATGTGCACCTAGTGTCTCTACAAAAAAATCATCACCCTATCAGTTCATGTCCGACCGGGAGTGCGAATAAAGTTTTGTGTTGTTGAACGAGGCAGTTCGCGCATGCGTGCTTGTCAGCTTTTCTCGCAAGCGGCGCTGATCTGCTCACCAACAGCACGTTTGAGAAGTAAAATCTTTGACATATGGTTATAACTCCCTGACGTTTCTGATCTTTACACGACAGCCGTCGACGTGCTTAAACAAATATGCCGAAAAACAAAGGTAAGGCGGTTTTGAAAGGTAGTCGTGTGAAATGTTAGCCTTGAAATGAGCTAACAAGGTAACGCGAGCCATTGCGCGAGATATTGAATATAGCAGTGAATTGTGAATGTTTGATTTTAAAATGTCCAACATTAATTTATTTCTAACTTATTTTTAATGTATTTGTCTACATAATACGAAATAAATCTTGCTGTCAAGAAATAAACACGATGCGGCGGGCCGCTTTATGTGTTACGCAGTTGGATAGTAGCGAATTTGTTAAATCTACGTTAGCTTTTCATTTGAATAATTTTAAGATCTTTTTGAATGTTAATCTGTGTTTATGTTGTTATGTAAATGTTTTATATGAAATTAATCCAGTGTTATGATGTCATCCATCATACTGACATTGTGTTGGATGTACTTTGCTCAGTCGTTAGGCAACATTTCATTATTGTCACACAGTTAATGTGTTTGTTGGCATTGTTTCCGATTATATGATGGCATCTGATCCAATTTTATTCTTCTTTATTCAGGAAAAGGAGGAAAAAATAGGCGACGTGGTAAGAACGAGAATGAATCTGAGAAGAGAGAGCTGGTGTTCAAAGAGGATGGACAAGGTGTGTTGTAATACTCTTCCATATAATCTATATTCAACTGTTTTATTGAATTCACATGAACTAGTTTGTGTTTAAAAAGCCTTTTCTGTCTTTTAGAATATGCTCAGGTCATCAAGATGTTGGGAAATGGGAGACTGGAGGCCATGTGTTTCGATGGAGTCAAGCGGCTTTGTCACATCCGAGGAAAGCTCCGGAAAAAGGTGCATTTTAGAGCTTCAGGCTGAATGCAGATTCAGCGTTTTCATCTCTGTGGGAATCAACTGGATGCTGGACTGATATGTTAGAAAAATGTTGTGCTGTCTTGTTAATTAATTGATGCTACGGTGTAATGTTAGCTATTGAACGTTCCTCTTATGTATGATCTTTTTTCTTTTCTTGTTAAGGTGTGGATCAACACGTCAGACATTATACTCATTGGATTAAGGGACTACCAGGTTTGTTTTATTTAATTAAATGTATAGCTAGAAGTAATAAAATATAACTCATATTTAATTGGTTAAAGGATAACTAGATTTTTAAAGCATATTTTATGATTTAGTATAATTATGTTAATATTGTAAAATACTGACATTCCTTGATTGCTTTGTCCAATATAATATAAAAGATACAGTTAATGGAAAATTTAATTAAATGCAATCAAATATTGTAATGTAAAGGACTATAAATATAAAATATTATTGTACAATGATAACCACGCTATTTTCGTTTGATTGTTTAATTTCTCTATTTGAACCCTGTCACACTCCCCAGGAAAAAAAAAAACTTTTTATATTTGCTTTCAGATACACTGCATAGAAAAATACTTGATCATCCCAGTCGATCTATCTCAGGGGTGCCCAAACTTTTTTTGTATGAAGGGCCAAAAACCAAATAGCATTGAGAGTCGTTGGCTGAAAATAAATATACCAATTGTTTTACATTTAAGTTGTCATGTGTAATTTCATAGTTCATTTAAGAAAGTTTTCAAATGAAATGAAAAATATAACTTTGAATTTTATTAACTAATAAAGGATAACTTTTATTGCTATAACTTTTTGCATTATAACTTGTATACATAATCACAATTATAACACAGTGGAGTTGAATGCTGAACACACTAGTCAAGCAGTAACTGCCTTTGCCCTGATTTGCTCATCAAAGTCTCTGCATTGTGGTCTATTCCTCGGGTGACAGTATGTACATTTTAAACTAAATTACAGCATTTAAATTAAACATTTATTTTCAGTTATCTTTTTTTGTAGCTTAACAATAAAATAAACTAATAAAGGGTAACATTAAATGAAATGACAATCTCTAAACCATCCCCATCATTCTCCTTCTCTTTTTAGATGGGGTGGTGGGCCAAATCAAAGGGTACCATGGGCCAACTTTGGCCTGCGGGCTTCAGTTTTAGGATCTTTGATCTAAATGAATAAAATCTTTCAAAATAGAGTTATTCAAATCATCTGGTGAAATTAAATTCATATTGCAATATATATTGCTACTATACAAAATGATGCAATGTCAGATTTATTTATATTTATATATTTATATATATATATATATATATATATATATATATATATATAATATAAAATAGAATTTATTTGATTAAAGGGACTAACAGGTCTTGTGCGACTGTGTTTGTTTCTGCAGTATTTCAAAGTTAAATCTGTCTATTAAAAGTAATGTATGTAGCACTAGATAGTAATAAAATATAAATTACTGTTATTTTACTTGTATATCATATTCTTGTAATAAAGGGGCTTCTTAATTGCACTGCAGAATAATACATAAATAATCAAATAAACACCTAATATATTTAATATAATTATTTGTATTTTATTTATTATTCATAATTTAATATGTAAAAAAATATATAAATGGTA